TTATTTGTTTTTAGAGAGAAGGGAAGGGAGGGAAAAAAAGAGGGAGAGAAACATCAACGTATGGTTGCCTCTGTGTACCTTCTAATGGGGACCTGACCTGCAAGCCAGGTGTATGCCCTGACTGGGAATCGAACTGTCGACCCTTTGGTTTGCAGGCTGGCACTCAATTCACTGAGTTCCACCAGTCAGGGCTCATCCTCTTTACTGTCATTTCTTTTTCAATAATAGTCTTTTCTAATGTTTTTCTGTAACAAACACATAAGAAAAGGGCACATAAATTAAATTTCACTTAAAACAATGCTGACAAATATTGAAAGCAGGGAACCATTTCAACCTTAGCACTTTCAAAGCTGTCTTCCAATGCATCTTTCCAAAACAGTTTCTTTTCCTCTTATAGTTTTCATGATACTCAGGCAGACTATATTACCATAAAAATGGATATAATCTTTTTCTAGCCTTCCATATTATTGTGATATCTTGTTTCACTCAGATGTTTTCTTGACAAATGATATGTAAACTAAATAATGCTGGTTTGAAATATATTTAATACATTTGGTGGGGAGAATGGGTTTGCTTTTAAAGAAACAAATGGCAGAATATTTCTGACAGGAAAGAATCCCAATGCAAAATAAATAGAAAAGTTGAAACTGGTGAATAAAACTTTGTTAATCATGGGGTAAAGCATTACTATATTTTGTCAAGTAATTTTAACAGCTATGTTTTGTACTTATGTGGAATATTTTTATTTTGCTTTCATATCATGTGGTCTGAGATATTTTTATTTAGAGTCATATATATATACACACACACACACACACACACACACATATACATATACATATATATATATATATTTTTTTTCACTATGAATTTATTTTCTTCCCCTTAGCTTTCTTTAAGTCTGGGTAGTCCCACCTACCTCCTAATATCCCTCAGGTTTTTAGTATACATAAGTTGATTTTTCAGGTTATACATATTTACACACCCACTCTGCCTCACCAACAACTTGTGGTCTTGTGTTCAGATTAACAGTTGAACTCATGGGACAAGATAGGCTTTACTCAGAAGTTTATTTACCTTTAAGAAATGATACAGGACACAAAGTAGCATGGCTTGTACAGCAGCAACATCGTGGGGATCTCAAATTCCAGGCAGAGATTACATTTGTCTCAGACATCTCACACTTGATATATCCATTGTCCTGAGCACAACTGACTGAAGAAGCCACCACTAGTGGCTAATGACTAAGAAGCCCATGCTAATGGAATCGTGTTCCTTATCTTCCCACATTCATGCAAAGTGTTTTTTTTTTCTTGCTATTTCTCTCCCCCAGTTCTACCTGCAGTCTTTTTTTTTATTATTGTTCAAGTACAGTTGTCTCCATTTTCCCCCCATCGCTCCCCCTGCCACACCCATCCCTGCCTCCCACCCTTGATCCTACCGTCTTTCGCTTTATCCATGTATACGCGTTCCTTCACGACCCTTCCCTTATTTTTCCCCCTTCCCCTCTGGTTACTGTCAGTTTGCCCTTTATTTTTCAACGTCTCTGGTTATATTTTGCTTGCTTGCTTGTTTTGTTGATTAGGTTCCTCTTGTAGGTGAAATCATTTGATATTTGTCTTTCACTGCCTGGCTTATTTCTCTAACATAATATGGATCTCCAGATCCATCCATGCTGTGGCAAAGGGTAGGAGCTCCTTTCTTTCTGCTGCGTCGTATTCCATTGTGTAAATGTGCCATGGTTTTTTGATCCATTGATTTACTGATGGGCACTTAGGTTGCTTCCAGCACTTGGCTGTTATAAACTATGCTGCTGCGAACATTGGGGTGCACAGGTTCTTTTGAATTGGTGCTTCCAGATTCTTAGGGTATAATCCCAGCAGTGGAATTGCCAGGTCTAAAGGCAGTTCGATTTTTAGTTTTCTAGGGAAATTCCATACTGTTTTCCACAGTGGCTGCACCAGTCTGCATTCCCAGCAACAGTGTACTAAGGTTCCCTTTTCTCTACAACCTCACCAGCACCTGTTGTGTGATGATTGGATTATGATGGCCATTCTGACCATAGTGAAGTGGTATTTCATTGTGGTTTTAATTTGCATTTCTCTGATGACTAGTGATGCTGAGCATCCTTTCATATGTCTCTGGGCCCCCTGCATGTCCTCCGTGGAGAAGTGTATTCAGGTCCTTGACCCACTTCTTAATTGGATTGTTTGTTTTCCTGGAGTGAAATTGTGTGAGTTCTTTATATATTTTGGAGATCATTTGAAAATATATTTTCCTATATGGTTGGTTCCCTTTTCATTTTGTTTATGTTTTCTTTAGCCATGAAGTAGCTTTTTATTTTGATGAGATACCACTTTTTATTCTTTCTTGTATGTCCCTTCTACCTGCAGTCCTGATAAAAGAAAAAGTTGAACACTTACACATTAGCATCTGGGGCTTTTAAATGTTACTTCTGTGTTTTTTTAAAAACTGTATTATCAAATGTTTAATAAAATTAATTTGGTTTATTGATTTAGATTTACCTGTTACTTTTCTAAAATTCTTTGGTTTAGTACATAGAACTCTGACCCATGAATCTGGAGATCTGGATTTTTTTTTCTTTTCTTTTTAATTATGTTTTATTGATTATGCTTTACAGTTGTCCCAATAATTCCCCTTTTGCCTCCCTCTGCCCAGTACCCACCTTCCCTCCAGCACTACCCCTGCCTTAGTTCATGGGTCATGCATACAAGTTCTTTGACTTTTTCATTTCCTATGCTATTCTTATCATCCCCCCCCTGTCTATTTTGTACCTATCAATTATGCTTTTTTTCCTTTAAAGTTTTTTATTTATTTTTTAGACAGAGAAGAAGGGGGGGAGAAAGACAGAGAGAGAAATATCAATGTGTTGTTGCCTCTCACTCGCCCCCTACTGGGGATCTAGCCCACAACCCAGGCATGTGCCCTGACTCGGAATTGATCTGGCAACCCTTTTGTTTTCAGGCCGGCGCTCAATCCACTGAGCCACATCAGCTAGGGCCAGTTATAATTCTTAATCCCTGCATCATTTCCCCTGTTTTCCCCCTTCACCCTTCCTGCTGATAATCCTCCAAATGATGTCTCTATCTAGATTCTGTTCCTGCTCTGGTTGTTTGCTTAGTTTGTTTTTTCAGTTTCACTTGTGAATTTGTTGCCATTTTAATGTTTATAGTTTTGGTCATCTTTTTCTTAAATAAGTCCCTATAACATTTCATGTAATAATGGCTTGGTGATGATGAACTCCTTTAACTTTAACTTGTCTGGGAAGCACTTTAATCTGCTCTTCAATTCTGAATGACAGCTTTACTGGATAGAGTAATCTACATTGTAGGGCCTTGCCTTTCATGACTTTGAATACTTCTTTCCAGCCCCTTCTTGCCCATAAAGTTTCTTTTGAGAAATCAGCTGATAGTCTTAGGAAACTCCTTTGTACGTAAGTCTCTGCTTTTTCTCTTGCTGCTTTTAAGAGTCTCTCTTTATCTTTAACTTTTGGCATTTTAATTATGATTTATCTTGGTGTGTTCCTCTTTGCGTCCAGCTGGTTTGGAACTCTCTCTATGTTTCGTGGACTTGTTTGTCTATCTCATTTGCCAAATTGGTTTTCTTTCATGATTTTTTAAAATAAGCTTTCGATTTCTTGCTCTTCCTTTTCTCCTGGCATCCTTATGATTCGGATGTTGGCACTTTTGGAGATGTCCCAGAGTTGTCTTATACTGTCCTCATTTTTTTTGAATTCTTATTTCTTCTTTCTGTTCTGGTTGAATGTTTATTTCTTCCTTATGTTCCAAATTGTTCATTTGAATCCCTCCTTCCTTCCCTTCACTGCTGGTTCCCTGTGGATTTTTCTTTACTTCACTTAGTGTAACCTTCATTTCTTCCTTTATGTTGTTGCCATACTCAGTGAGTTCTCTGAGCATCCTGATCACCAGTATTTTGAACTCTGCATCTGATAGGTTGGCTCTCCCCATTTCGTTTAGTTCTTTTTCTGGGTTTCATTCTACTCTTTCATTTGGGCCATATTTCTTTGTCTCCTCGATTTGGCAGCCTCCCTGTGTTTGTTTCTGTGCATTAGGTAGAGCTGCTTTGACTCCCTATTTTAGCACACCTGTTCAGTTGTATGGGGTAGATTCTTAGGTATTCACCAGTGCAGGGTGACCCCTTCACTGCTTTATGGCTCTGTGTGGGAGGGCTCGGAGAGGAGACAGTGCTGCTGCCTGGCTTCTGGAGGGTTTGCTGGCACTTGCCCAGTTTCCTGTCAGTTCACCCACACTTCCTGTATGTGGTTCACATCCTTCCAGCTATTGCCCTGATTGTAAACCCTAGAGTGGATGGATTTGCGTATGTTCTAAGTCCATGGGGGGCCTTTAAACCAATTGTCCTGAGAAACTGGCAGTTTCTTCTGCCACCTCAACCCCCAATGGTTTTTACAGCCAGAAGTTATGGGTCTTTATCTTCCCTCTCTGGAACCTTGGGCTGTGCAGTCTGGCCTGGGGCTGGAATTGCTCATTCCCATGGTATCCCTCCCAATTTTTATCTACCGTTGTCAATGTGAGACTGCCTATTCTGCAGCCACCTCTGCCTCTCCATAGCAAACCTTGTCTCCTGGTCTCTCTGCCCCAACTCTGCATCTCTGCCCCTCCTACCCATCTGTATGACTGTGGCTTCTTTAAATCCTTAGTTGTTGGACTTCCATACAGTTCAATTTTCTGGCAGTTCTGGGTGTTATTTGTTTTGAGATTAGTTGTAATTCTTGTGGTTGCGCAAGGAGATAAAGCACGTCTATGTACACCTCCATCTTGACCGGAAGTCCTGGAGATGGGGATTCTAATGCTGGCTCTTGACTCCTTTCCTATACCCTTAGTTCAAATAGCTAGATGAACTAGATGTTAAATACTGAACTTAGAAAATATAAATTTTCCACTTATAAAGTTTGTCTAAAAAGTGTTGACCAAAAAAACCTTTTTGTTTTTTAATGAAAGCTAAGAAAGAAGAAAAGAAAAGGCATAAATCATCATCCTCCTCCTCCTCATCATCCAGTGACTCAGATAGCTCAAGTGATTCTCAGTCCTCTTCTGATTCTTCTGATTCTGAAAGTGCTTCTGAAGAGAAATCAAAAAAACGAAAAAAGAAACACAGGAAAAATTCCCGAAAACACAAGAAAGAAAAGAAGAAGCGCAAGAAAAGCAAGAAAAGGTCTTAATTTTATTTTCATTATTAACATTATATTCTAATTTCCTTCTATTTATAAATCTTTTGGGATTTTGGATCAATTATATGGGAACATTATAATAGAAATACTTCATAGCATGAAGTACAAAACCGTTTTGATATTCTGCAGTCTGTAGATGAAATTTGGGTCATATTTATTTCCATTTTTAACAAAACCATTCAATTTATTTTATTTTGTTGATCACAATGAAATTATGCTTTTGGTTTTACAGGTTTGTATTTGTGGAACGAATATGGGTTTAGTGAGACTTACAGGAAGCCAATGATTGTTATCCTTATTTTCTGTAACAGTCTGTCTTGCTCTGTTGTCTTTCACTTCCTTTGCTCCTCCAAGCACATAAGGATAGAAAGCAGATACCATTGTGTTTACTTTCTTTTTTTTTTGTCTGAAATAATGTGTTTGTACTAAAACTTGTTTTTATATGCTTATTGCTTCTAAAGCAACTAGTTTCTTTACCTCCATTTTAAAGTATCGTAAGTTTATCAGAGTACATTGTTCATGGAGTTTCATATTTTAGATCCTTTTTAATGGGAAATATTTTTTGAGAATGTGACAACGGAAACATTTTGTTTTAATTTTGAATGTGTCACAGGAATGAATTGCATCTTTCCCATGTAACTGCATCTTTGGGGGGTACTGGATAAGTATATATTGATATCTTAAAGGAAAAAAATACCATCAATTGGATATTTGTGGTAGGCACTTAATAACTGAATGAAACTTGCTTTGTGTTTTTATTAAGCGCATCTAGTGAAAGTGAGGCTGAAAATCTTGATGCACAACCCCAGTCTACTGTCCGTCCAGAAGAGATCCCTCCTATACCTGAAAATAGATTTCTAATGAGAAAAAGTCCTCCTAAAGCTGATGAGAAAGAAAGGAAAAACAGAGAAAGAGACAGAGAGAGAGAGTGGTATGTAAATGAGTATATCTTGTAGAGTGCTCTACAATCTTTACCATAATCCCTTTTTTCTTAAAAAAGTGTTTACTTAATTTAGGCAAGATTTAATTGGTGATGTTTGTCCCAAGATTGAAATCTTTTCATAGGATAATGGTCATAAAGCTCCTTTTTGCTAACCACATAGCTAAAAAGGATAAATGGACTTAATTCAAACAGAATTTTGAGAAAACTTTCTTTAAAAAAATAAAAAAGCACTGCAAATGCCAAAATGATCTTAAGTGGAATTCTAAACCAGTTCCATTTAAAAGCTAGGTATTTTACTGTGTAATTGTATACATTAAACTTTTAAGCAAGTAAAAACCTTTTTTGAGTTCTCTAATGGGTAAAAAAAAAAAATGCTGTTCTTTTGTGATTTATGAAATTTTAATAATGAAAATTGATATGTTCAGATACTTTCAAAATTTTTCTACATAAAAGATTGAAGTCTCTTATTTATGATCAGATGTACATTATAAAAGTAATAAAATTGTGAGCAGTCCCCCTATGCTTCTATAATACAGTAAAAATGTGACAAGAATCTTATTTTAATATTGATGGATTGGACTTTTATTTTTCTTCATGTATTAGAAAAGGAGGTTTCTAAGGAAGGAAATACTAAAGGGAAAATGTTTGAGCTACTTTAGACAAACTTTTCAAATATAACTTAAATGGATATTGGTAATGCTAACCAATATTAACTCATTTGAAAACAGTTTTCTGTGATATAAACGTCATTCTAATTCAACTAGCTTAATTCACATTGATTACACTTTGCTATAGTTTTTTTACCAATGAACATTTTTTCATAAAATAATAAGGTACTTTGGAATAAGAGTTCTAAAACTATTCTCTCAACAGCATAGAGCCTACTCTGAGCTCTCCCATGTTGGTCTTCCTTAGCACTATGAAGTTAACTTTATCTTAGTAATGATTATATAATGATGTTTCTCAACAGGACAGAATTGGAATTTTAGGAGTAGAATAGTTCTTTGTCCTCACGCATTATAAGATTTTAGTATTCCTGACTCCTGGACACCTAGTACCAATAGCACCCTGCTTAGTCATCAACAATGAAAAAAAAGGTCCCCATCCTTTTCCAGATACCTGCTAAGAATTGATAACATACCTGGTTGAGAACCACTGATTATGTATAAGATTTTAAATTTATTACTTTAGATCATTAAAGCTGTATTCCTCAGATTTATTTTTATAAAATAATGTATTTTAATTTTCGCTTCCTTCTAGTAATCCACCTAATCCCCAGCCTGCTTCATACCAGAGGCGACTTTTAGTTACTAGGTCTGGCAGGAAAATTAAAGGAAGAGGACCAAGGGTAGGTGATTCTTTTCCCATAAATCTTAATAGTATTACATTTATTTTAAAATAATTTTAGAGTGTTTCTTAAATATTGGTTTACATAGAAGTAACTAAAATTTAGAGTAGATGTGGATATTGAATTGGTATGTTCTCTTTTCATAGTAACTTGTTTTAGTACTTCCAAACTGAAAGTTCATGGATTTTACATGTACGTGGTGTAAAATAAGATCAAGATCTTTCTTGTGTCCCCTTGTTACTCCTGATATCTCTATTCTTGATAAAAATTATTCTTATAATTCATCCTCTTTCTCTTTACTGGACTGTCCTCATCAGAATTGAAATATCCACTGTGTTTTTGGAATTTTAGAAACTTAGCTATACTTAGTATATTATTTATTTACTTCCTATTCATTTCTCAACCATTTCAGTTTGTCTTCTACCATTCCGCTGGAACACAGCACTTGCTGTGTGATCAGCTTCGTGTCACAAAATCCAGTGGATCCTTTCAATTCCTGTCTTACTTAATCTCCCTCCTTGTAATACTCGTTTCACTTTGTTTCCATCGTATTTTCTTCCTATCTCTGGCCAGTCTATCTTGAATTTCGAGTGTCAGTTCATATTGTTCTTCTCCATTTTTAAATATTGTAATACTTAAGTGCTACAACTCTTCTCACTCTGCATATGCTCCTTGGACAGTCTCATCACACCCATGGCTTTAGTGGCTACCTGTATGCTGATAACTGCCAAATTTTCATCTGCTCTCATCAAAGGCTTATTTGACAGCCATTTAATTGTTTAATGGGCACCTCAAACTCAGTATATATAATGTTGAGCATAAGCACTTTCACTGATCTTCCTTTAGATTCCTGGTCTTGTGACAAAGACCACCACCTATGCAGTTACTTAAACCTAAAGCTCAAGAATCAGCCCTGGCAGGTGTGGCTCAGTGGATTGAGTGCCAGCCTGTGAACTGAAAGGGCACTGGTTCAATTACTGGGCACATCAGCATTTGTCTCCCTCCCTTCCCCTCTCTCTAAAAATAAACAAATAAACCTTTTTTAGAAAGCAGCAGCACTTTGTTTCCCTCCCTTCTTTCCTACATTATATATCTTTTTTTTTAATTCTCACCTGAGGTGGTGCTTACTGATTTTTAGAGAGAGGAGAAGGGAGAGAGAGAGATGGGGAGAGAAACATTGATGTAAGAGAGAAACATAATCAGTTTCTTCTTTGTAAAATTGGAAATCTGGTTAACAAGTCACTCCTTTGCCATTGGCTTTAATAAATCCAAAATTGTTAACCATGGCCTACAAGAACTCACAAAATCTAGTTCTTCCTTACCTCATCAGTATTATCAAATACTACATTCCCTTGCAGTATTTGTCCTTAGCCACACTGATCTGTCGTCTTCTTATCATATCTAAAACATACTATTTCTTCCTATCTCAGGACCTTCAAACGTGGTATACTGCTAATGCCTCACATATTCTTCCTCACCCATCTGTCCTCAGCCCCTTTACCTCTTTTTCCTCACACTTGCCTGGGAAAGTACTCATACATATTCTTTAATTCTCAGCTTTTAATTATTTAATTGTTTTACTCATTCCCCATACTAGGTCAGATAACCTTGTTATATATTCTCTGAAGGCCTTTTACATTCATTCTAACTGTAGCTTTATATATGTTTAACATCTGTGATAATATGCCTGTCTCTGTGTTCCCCTAGCCTTGCAGAATGTTAAGTTCCAACAGTGCAAAATCAAATGTGTCTTGGCTTACTAATGTTTCCTCATTAATGCGGTAGAGTGGTTAGCTCTCTTAAGAGCTGAGTAAATACTAGTTGAATAAATGAGCATCTCTTCATTTACTCTGTTTTTTCATAATAAGGGAACTGTTTGCTTGGAAAAAACATCAAGAATACTCATACACATTTTTAAATTGGAACTTGGCAACTTGTAAGGGTTCCTTGCACCTACTATGCTTTAGCATCACTTAAATAGGACAGTTCCACAGAAAAGATGTGGGTGACTAGAGTTTCTATGGTTAATGCTTTTTATTTGGAACTTACAGTGTGACTGTAATTGATTTCCTACCTAAAATTGGGAAATTTTATTTTAGCAGGCATAGAAATACCAGGCATTTTATTTGAACCTAGAAATATGTACACTGTAGCTATAATATTTTTATTTTTATGTTAATTTTTTTCCCTTTTAATTTTCTTAAGCGTTACCGAACTCCATCTCGATCCAGATCAAGGGATCGTTTCAGACGTAGTGAGACTCCTCCACATTGGAGGCAAGAGATGCAAAGAGCTCAAAGAATGAGAGTATCAAGCGGTGAAAGATGGATCAAAGGGGATAAGTAAGATTTAACTATATTATTTCAAATGTAGTGACAAGTTGTTTTGTTTTTTTACTATTATACATAAAGTTTCTTCGATATCTTAATGAAAATAGAATACCATTGTAGCTTACAATGAACATGTCTTAAAAAAATTTCAAAAAACCTTTTTTTCTTATTTTTTAGGAGTGAGTTAAATGAAACAAAAGAAAATCAGAGAAGTCCAGTTAGAGTGAAAGAGAAGAAAGTAACTGATCACAGGCATGTATCTGAGAGTCCAAATAGAAAAAGTGAAAAGGAAAAGAAAGTTAAAGACCATAAATCTAACAGCAAAGAGAGAGACGTCAGAAGAAATTCAGAAAAAGATGATAAGTATAATAAAAACAAGGTGAAGAAAAGGGCCAAATCTAAAAGTAGGAGTAAAAGCAAAGAGAAATCAAAGAGTAAGGAAAGAGATACAAAGCATAGACATGAAGAAAAGAGAATGAGGTCAAGGAGTAAAGAAAAGGATCATGAGAATGCTAAAGAAAAAGAAAAGTCTGATTCTAAAGGAAAAGACCAGGAAAGGAGTAGAAGTAAAGAGAAATCTAAACAGTTAGAATCAAAAAGTAATGAGCATGATCATAATAAAAGTAAGGAGAAGGATAGACATGCACAGTCTAGGAGTCGAGAACGTGATGCAACTAAAGGCAAACACAGTTACAATAGTAGAACAAGGGAACGAAGCAGAAGTAGGGACAGGAGCAGGAGAGTGCGATCCAGAAGCCATGATCGTGATCGCAGCAGGAGCAAGGAGTACCATAGGTACAGAGAACAGGAGTACAGGAGAAGAGGAAGGTCACGGAGCCGAGAGAGAAGAGCAACACCCGGAAGATCGAGAAGTAAAGATAGAAAGAGAAGGAGGAGAGATTCACGGAGCTCAGAGCGAGAAGAAAGTCAAAGCAGAAACAAAGAAAAATATAGAAACCAAGAAAGTAAGAGTTCGCACAGAAAAGAAAATTCTGAGGGTGAAAAGAGAATGTACTCTAAAAATCGTGATTATAATAGTTCAAATAACAACAGGGATAAAAAGGCTGATAGAGATCAAAGTCCATTCTCAAAAATAAAACAAAGTAGTCAGGACAATGAATTAAAGTTCTCCACATTGAAAAATAAGGAGGATGGGAAGACCAGATCCTCAGTGGAAAAAGAAAACCAAAAATCAAAGGGTCAAGAAAATGACCATGTACATGATAAAAATAAAAAATTTGATCATGAATCAAGCCCTGGAACAGATGAAGACAAAAGTGGATGAGTGAGTTGTATAAACTTATTTCCATTCTGTCTTGAATTTTAAGTTTTAGAGACTTGTTGATGGATCTCCTTTATGTTTTCTTCTTTTCATTGTTTTTGGTTTGTTTTATGTTTGTCCTTTTTTTTTTTTTAAACGTGGACTTTATTGAGTTGATCTTTTTGATAATCTGCAACCTGGATAATTTGTACTGCTAAAGTTTTAATAAACTTGAAATGAGAAAAACTTTGGTGTAATACTGTGTGCTGTGTTTCACTATTTCATGTATACATTTTTGTGTTGCAACAATCAGGCCATAGCAAACATGCTATTCTATACCCTAATTTTTGTAATCATAAGTTGAAAACAAGCATAACTGATTGTTGGAATACATTGTTAAAAAAGTTTGTGTTTCTCATGATTAACTCTAGAAGCCACTAGGCTAGAAGAAATCTTGTAAAGATTCTCTGATTGGATTTATAATAGAGGCTTGCAGCAGCAGCTTTTAATTACACAGAAGCAGGATTCTAATAACTTGAGATCTTGTCATCTCTTGATTTTATAGTAATTTGTGCTTTCAAATAGATACTTATTTATATTTTACTTCATATGCTATTCTTTATAGTTCCACATGTAGCTTGTTTCTTCATATTAATATTTTTCATGTCTAGTTTTGTTTTACTTAACTGTCTATAAAAATAGTTGAGTATTTTTTTTTCAGTTGATGTACTGAGTGACCTTGACTTGCTGTTATACAGCGTCTAACAAGTTAACCTTGAAAGATCAGATTGTGATTCTCAATCTATGTTGCTTTTGGTCTGAAGAGATTAAACTTTTGCTTTTTGAGAACATTGTTTTATTATCCTTCTCCAAAGTGGGGGAAAAAAACGCTTTTCTTATTAAAGCATACCACTTGTGTGACCCTTTAAGTTAGATTTTAAAAGTTGTTAGTATTGACACATTAACTTCCAAGATTTATTTTTGGCCACTGACCTATATAGACTTAAGTGTTAACTCTGCATGTGTGTGGGGTTTTTTTTGTTTTTTTTTCTTTCTTTTTTTTTTTTTAACTGACTTCTCTAATTCTCATAGATGTGAGTTTCAAATGGCAAGAAAAATGCATCTTTTCTGTATATGTATCACAGTAGGCTACAGCATGTTTATGACTCTGGTTTCTTTCTATTCAGGTGGTTCATACCATTACTGTTAAAATTATTTTAACTGGGCATGTATAACATTGCCACATAGAGTAGAAAGTTGCGAACTTTTATAGCTTATAGAGTTAAACATTAATGATACCTAAAGTCCATTTAGAATTTTATGTGTTGTATATTGCTATTTTTGTGATGTGTGGCCTTTTATTCTGTAATTTCTCTTCTAAATAAAATATTGAACATCCAGCAAACACAAAACCTGCCTCATTTGAAAAGAAATTTCAGAATTCCAATTAATAGTAGCTTCTACAGTGTTCTGTAATTTAATATTTGTCAGTATAGTGTCAACTCTTATTACCAGGGCAGCTTCTTGGTAAAACAGTAGCTACTCAATGCTGTTTGTACTGAATGAAGCAATGCTTAACATATTTCCCATTGTTGGTTAATACATTGATGGCATCATGGTAGCTGTTCACATAATGAATAGGGTAGTGATTATACAATTGTTTGGAATATCTTGAAACAGATATTCACAGTGGAGTCTTTCCAGATTGTTTTTCCTGATTATAAAGTCCATGTTTATGATAATTTAGGGTGATTGATTCCTTTGAAACTTTGACCACACACCCACTTTAGGGATAATTGAGTCTTGAGTGCACAAGCTGTATAATCTGTTACATATTTTAAATTAGTGTTTGTTTTAAATTCAGTAAATTGCATTTTTAAAATCTTTGTTATAAATTATTGGAGCTTTGAGAAAGGTGCTATTTAAGAAAGGATTTCTAGTAAACAGTTATATTTAAAAAAAAAACATGATAAGTAAATATACTTCTATATTGTCTGATGATCCAGAGCTTTATCTACTAAGAATTAGGCAGGTAACAATAGGGGGGGAAATTTTAGTAAATTCTATAAGTGGTAGTCTTTTATTTTGATTATCTGAAGAGCAACCCTGCACTAAGCATTATTTACAGTTTTTTTTTTGTTTTGTTTTTTAATACTGACTAGAGGGTGTATTGATTTGGGAGAGAGGGGAAAAAAAATGTGAGAGAAACATTGATCACTTGCCTTCCGCATGTGTCCCTACTGGGGATCGAACCTACACCTCGTAATGTGCCCTGGCTGGGGATCAAATCTGCAACCTTTTGGTGTATGGAACAGTGCTGCAACCAACTGAGCCACCCAGCCAGGGCTATACGTCTGTTTTTTTCAGAAAAAGTTTGTTAGCTGTTTTTAACCATGGAGCAGATAATGGCAAAGGAAATGAGAGGTGACAATCAGCTAGATTTTACATTTAGAATATAAAGAATACTTAGAAAATGATTAAGCAGCATTTACTATACCTCAAGTCTTCCTTTGCATCTGAATAGCAAACAGCTCAAACGGTCCTTCTCTCCCACTGCATTTTTAATAGTTAACTACCTTTAGTTATTACATTTTGTTTTCCCAAAAGTCAGCCTTTTAATACCTTGTAATTGTTATGCCTGTGCTTACAGTTTAGCTCAAACTATTCTTGGACTTAATGCCGTCTTAAAGATATTTAAATTGGTTTGTCTTTATTGCTTGATTGGCAATATCCAGGAAAAATTTTTCCTGATTGTTATTTTGAGTGAACGCTTTCTCTGGACAAAGCATCTACCACAGAAATTGACAATATAGAGTGATGCTAAGTGAGCAGTAGTGAAGCTGCTCAGTTGCTTTAAAACATTTTAAAATTACACAGGTAGAGAGTTCATACATAGACCATTGTAGTTTTTAAATTCCTAAAGTCAAACCCTTTGCAGAAGTTTCAAAGAATTTGATAAATATTTCTCTGTGCAAGTGTGATGCTGATGCATAATGGCTTTGCTGAATTGCCTTTTTTTAAAATAGATTTGAGAGAGACATCGATTTGTTGTCTCACTTATTTATGCATTCATTGGTTACTTTTTATAATGTGCCCTGACCAGGGACGGAACCCACAACCTTGGTGTATCAGGGTGATGCTCTAACCAACTGAGCTACCCAGCCAGGGTGCCTTTGATTCTTGCAACCAGTGGTAGATAGGAAACTGCAATGTAAAAATTTCTTAATATTTTAGACAAGAATACATTGGGTTTCTTGTATTTTGAATAGTGGTATTAACTGACAATTCTAATTTGTTTTCAAGTTATATGAAATGAGTAATAAGTCATTTATTGTGCTTCACCTTGGGTGGCAATTTTTTTCATCATACTTTGAGCCTTTAGTAAGTTTCTGTAGAAATTTATTCCAAGTCTTTACCTTCACCAGAAATACTTTAAATACGCACCATATAGTTAGTTGATAGTTACAAAGAAACAAAAATGGAGTTTTTTTCTGTCTCCTTTTGGTTGTGTTGACTAAAATTATTGTTTAATATTTATGCATTTAGAATTGAATAAAATCTCCAAGAATTGTAGGTTATAACCTGTTTATGGTGAAAAGATGTGTTGTATTACAAATACTTGTTTTAAAATGTAACAAAAATAAACTCTAGAAAGTACAGTAATGGCTGACTCATGCCCTTAGTGGTCTTTCTGGCTGCCTTTAAAGGATTCAGGTAAAGGCAAACTCTGGGCTGTGATGTCACACAAGAAGTAAATATTAAAGGAAAAATCACATAAATTTAAAAAATTCCATCAGCAAGGTAGGAGAATGGAGTTGTCAAGGCATGAGAGCGAGTGGTGGGTTTGAATTGTGTTGTCCCCCCCCCCCCACTTTTTTTTTTCTTAAAGCAAAATTCCTGTTGACCCAAAGCACATGCTGTATTTTTTTTTCTCCTTTCTGTGTTTATAGTGTTTTGAAGGACTGATAAATGAATTGGGTATTTGTATTTGGGGATGTTAAGAATTGTGGCTGTTCTCTGTGGAGGGGAAAAACAGATGAAGTTAATGCACTTCTTTTCCAAGCTCAAAGTCACTGTGATGTATATTTTTTTAATGAAATTTAGGAATAAAGCTCTTGTCACAATTGTAAAATGTTTCAAAATGCTGCTTCTCCTATCATTAGTCTAGTAACTTGAACTGTTTTCTGCAAACTGCATTGTACAGAATTTAAACTCAAACTATCAACTTTTATAGTTAAACATTGTATTAAATAAACTATGTTATGGTAACAGTTTGTTTCTGTATTTTAAAAATTATTGTATTAGTTACCTAACCTTTATTTTTATTAAAAGCTAAATAATGAAGATAAATCAACTAAAATATACTTTTATTTTACCCATGGGTATATAGAATTTGTGTTAGGCAAAAACTGAGCAGAGTTGAACAGAACTGAGCTTAAGAATTTAGCCAGCAGTAACAGTTTCCAGAAGGTTTGCGAATAAGTCCTAGTATAAATGTTTAATAATGATGTTTTCGATTGATTGCAGTGTGTCTTTGCCTCAGCAAACTTTTAAGGTTACACTTGGAATTTGCATTACCATCTAGTAGAGAAGCTCATGTGCTTTTTAATTTCTCCAAATTTCCCAGCATTTTGAATACTGTATTATATCCTTTGCCTGCCAGCTCTAATAGAACACTGTTGTAAAGCCATATAACTGTTAATTGACTTGTAAGAAATATCAATTCTAGTTTTTGGTTTCGGTTTTTTTGTTTTGGGGTTTTTAAAAAAATTTTTTTTTTAATTTAAAGTAGACACATGTTGGGGAAAATGCACCCGAGAGTCACGGAAAATACATATGCTTAGGTAAGAATGTTCTGACCATCTAGTAATTTGTATGTATGAACAGGTGAATATTATTAAACTTTCAAATTCTGGAGTGTTTTTTTTAATGTTTTTTTTTAGCCAGGAGAATATGTAAAATGTTGAGTGCTTCATCACATGGACTGTGCAAATTGTGTATTAAAATACTTTTAGTATCAGTTTGCTTTTCCTATTTTCATTTTTCTAAGACTGTTTCCTAAACATTTCTTAATCTAATACTGTATACCCTTTTTATTTTTAAATTCTGGTTCATAATTTTAAGGCCCCTCCTAAAGTCCTAGATACCCAAATTGTATTGGTTCTAGTTTACATTTTTGCCACAAATTGTAGCTGTGGGTTTCTTTTATGAAAGTCGCAGATTAGAACAATTGTGTTTCCATTGCTCTGTGTATGTTTTGCCATTCACTCTTTATACTGAATTGTTTGTAATAATTTTAAAACTGTAGACTTTTTAATGTGCCTAACTCTAGTACAAAGCACAGCCCAATTGAATCAAATTGTGTATGTTAGGGAGAAAATCTAGTAATATCTTTGGTCTTTTATGTTACCTTTAACTGAACTAAGTTGGTTATAAAACATTTATATAACTCACCATTTTGTAGAAACTTGTTTTCTGTTTCATAATGTGAAGATAACTTTATCCAAAACTAGTCATCACCCCTATGTAATACACTCCCTAAAGCAATTTAAAGGAAAGGATATATATCAGAGGTTCCCAGACTTTATTAGTTCATTGTGCCTTTGCATGACAACTCTAAGCCAAAAACAAAAAAAGAAAAAAGAAAAGATCCCCAACAATTCTATTGAATAGTTCAAATAGCTAAAGCCTGTCATAACAACTTAGTAGCTAGGTGAAAAATTTATTTCACTCTTTCATGCTTAAATACAATTAGTTACTAATGGGATATATGCAACTTAGTCATTGCACTAAAACCTTGAAATCAGATTGGATGCCATCACCCTCTTGTACATTCTTGTGTCATACTTGCAGTTTTTTCCAGCACCTGCTGAGCACCCAGGTTTATAAAGATAGGATGTCATCAAAGGGGTGGTACATTTAATACATTGAAACTGAACTATCTCAAACTAGTAAAACCTGTAGAGTCCTATAGATGTCAAATATTGGTTCCCTTCAAGTTTTTTAAATATCCTACACAGCTCTGCCTTTGTCAGGTCACTGTGGTCCTTAGGTCACCTTGGCACGCAATTTGGGAATCAGTGTAGTGTTCTTTTTAATATTCAGCTACATTAGTCTTTTAACAGAATTTGTTTAGATCCTAGGTTAGGATCTGTAAACCCAGAAATTAGGATTCAGAGTGATGGCTTAGCTTACAGAAGCATCTGCCGTTTTTTAGAAGTATAGGCCGCTACCCTCATCCCAGTTATTAGTCACAATCCTGGGTATGTGCAAGTCACTGTCCTGAATAGCCTATGAGAGAGTGTTGCGAAGTCCTGAAAGTACCTGCAGGATGGGGGGTGGATGGAGCGGGGCGGGTAGTATACTTTATTGCTCAAGGATCCCCAGAGATCTTGGCATCAAATATTTTTGCTATAAGACTTGATTCCTGAGAGATTGACAGTCTGTGTAACTTACACCTATACTCAGCATTCTCATTTGTAGAAGTCTATCTCAGAGGTACACTGATGAATATATGAAACAAAGCTGTTAATTGCAGAGTTTATAGTAGCCAAGACTGGAGAGCATGAAATTGGTATACCGCTGGTTGAATAAACTGGTACAGAAGTGTAACTGAATACTATGCCAGATGGGGAAAAAAATAAGGGTCTTTACTGAACTGATCTCTAGGATATAGTAAATGAAAAAAAGCAAGATTGCTTTGTGCAAGGGTAAAATGCAAATGTGTATATATTTGTTTATATTAAAGAAGCAATGGGCAAAGGACAACAGTGAAAAGGTAACCTACTTTTCTGGGGAGTGGGGGAGAAAAATGTTTGCAAGTTATACCTGATAAGGGGTTAATGCCACAGTTTGTAAAGAACAAGTCAAAAGCAATGGAAGAAAACACAGACTCAAGTAGACATTTCTCCAATGATAATAACTTTGCAGCATCAACAAGGAAATACAAATCAAAACCACAATGAGCTAGCACCTCATACTCATTAGGATGGCTACTATTTAAGTGTTAGTGAAGATGTGCGCCCTTGTGCAATGTTGGGAATGTAAAGTGGTGCAGCTCACAGAAAACAATATGATGGTTCCTCCAAAAAACTTAAAAACTTAAAAAAAGTTGCCATCTAGTAATTCCACTTTTGAACATACATCCAAAAGAATTTAAAGCAGTGTTTCAGAGATTTGCACATCAGTGTTTTATAGCAGCAGCATCCACCACAGTCCAGAGGTGGAAGTAGCCAAAGTGTCCACTGATGAAGGACTGGATAAAGAAAATTTGGTATATATACATGATTTAGTAGTTTTAAAAAAGAAAGGGATTCTGACACTACATTAAATGAACCTTGAGGACATTATGCTAATGGAAGTAAACCAAAGACAAATATTGTGTAATTCTACTTAATGAGTTAATATAAAGTTAAATTCATGAGAAATGGAAAGTAGAACAGTAGGTCCCAGGAGCTGACCAGAGGGGAAAATGAGTTGCTTAATGGGTATATAGTTTCAGTTTCTCAAGATGACAAAGTTCTGGAGGTTGGTTACACAACAACATGAATTATACTATTGAACTGTACTCAAAAATGGTTAAGATGGTAAAATTTGTGTTACACATTTTATATCAGTAAAAAAAAAGGAGCAGGGGAATGCTGAATCTGTATCAACTTGGTTGCCTAACTACATGTAGATTTCCACTGACCTTAAAATGGTAATTTGCATGTCTAATGAGATACACTGAAGCCAAAAAGAAGCCATAAATTGCATTTAGTAATCAGATTATTAGTAATAATATTGGTAGTGTTATTAGAAACTAAAATTTAAGTATTGAATAATAAATACACAGTTTTCTGAAGAGGAAAGAACTTCCATTGGAATATTCGGCTATAAAAATGAAGTAATGAAGGTATGATATAGATAAACACTGAAAATATGCTAAATGAAATAGGCCAGACACAGGCCACATTATGATTCCACTTCTACAAAATATCCAGAATAGGCAAGTCCACAGAGACAAAGCAGGCGAGTGATTGCCAGGGGCTTTGGAAAAGGGGAATGGGGCCTGACTGCTTAACAGGTGCAGGGTTTCCATTTAGAGCAATGAGAAGGTTCTGGAACTCAATGGTAATGGTTATACAATTTATGAATATAAATGCAACAACACATTTTTAAGTGGCTAAAATTTACATTTTATGTTTACATATTTTTACCAAAATTTTAAAAACTGAATTAACCAGTGATGAAGATCACACATAATTATATTTAGGTGAAGAGCAGCTTTATTAAATTACAAGCCTGAAATTCACTTAACACTTGTAGCTTATTAGTTACAACTTAGTCTCAATCTTAAAAGTAAATTTTTTTCTACCATGTAAAACCTAGCCTTCCCTTACACTTTTGAAAGTCATTGTATTTTGGTCCCTGAGAGTTATAAGAAGGGAGCTGGACTCCAGTGACATCATTTGCCTGACAGCTAGGTCTTAATCCACCTCTGTCCATAAAAACTGGTCCACAGCCACCGCCAGGTCCTCCCTGTACAGCTTTCACAAGAGGATAAATATATTTCCTTGTTGATTCAGTCTCAAGTTCAATTACTTCTCTGGCATAATCCTGAAATTCTTTCTCCTTTTCCTCTACAAGATCTTCAGTAAGTCTGCAATAGTCCAATTGTGCTTGTTTTGCTTGCTTTGCATTAAACTTATTTTTGGCCTAATAGGGAGAGAAAGAAAATACAAATTCATATTAGAAACAAGGCTGACTTTCTAAATATATGTAGCATTTGAAGTTGTAGATACAATTTTCTGAACTCAATTGATATTTGACAAAATTCTGACTTAACAACTGTATACTATAATTTATTTCAGAACTTTTCCATGCTCCTCACAGTATCATCATGCTCAAAAGTCAGGGCTCAATGAAACTTACCTTAATAGCCTTAGGTGATGATATGCCTTCAAACAATACAGAAAAATAGTTAAAAGCATGAAATGTAGATAAAATAACCAAGTTTAGAATCCTATTTATATCATTTATAATGTGTACTAGGGCAGACGTAGAAGGCATATCAATCACTGTCCCAGTCCATCCACTATTCTGAAGACACTCCAACCCACCGTCCTAAGTCAACCTGATAGACCATGTGCCCCAGGCACATAAGATTAAATTAGCAGTTACTATCTGAACTAAGTTAAAGCACTACATTCTCTCTATCCCAATAATTTGAAGTTGGAACAAGTGGCACTTAACAACATAGGTCCATCAGGAGCAGGATAGAATAAGCAATCTACCAAAATTCAACTTACCAACATTTCATAAAAATATTTTTTAAAGATTTTTATTTTTAGAGAGATGGGAAGAGAGGGAGTGAAACATCAATGTGTGAGAGATGTATCAATTGGTTGCCTCTCATACACCCCCAACCAGGGACCTGGCCCACAACCCAAGCATGGACCCTGACTGGGAATCAAACCAGTGACCTTTTGGTTCTTAGGACAGCGCTCAATCCACTGAGACACACCAGTCAGGGCCATTTCAAAAATTTAAGTCTTTATATTTGTGCACAAGATTGTTCCTTTATATTGTATGAGATTTTTAAATGTATGTTTGGAGAGAGGGGAAAGGAGGGAGACAGAGAGGAGGAGAAACATGGATGTGAGACAGAAGCATCAACTGGTTGTCTCTTTTATGCACCCTGACTGGAGACAGAACCTGCAACCCAGGAACATGTCCTGATTGGGAAGCAACCCAGCAACCTTTTGCCTTGCAGAATTATGCCTAACCAAAAGGGTTACACCAGTTAGGGCTAGAGGATTTTAACATCTCTTGTTTTAATCCTCACCCAAGGACATTTTCCATTGCTTTCAGAGAGAAGAAGGAAAAGAGACAAACATCAATGTGAAGGAGAAACATCAACTGGTAGTCTCTAGTATGTGCCAGGACCAGGGATTGAACATGTAACCTAGGCATGTGCACTGACAGGGAATCGAACATGCAACCTTTTGGTTACAGATGACACTCCAACCAACTAAGCCACACTGGCCCTGGTGGGATTTTAATGACTTTCAGATTACTATGAAGTTTGGGTTGACAACTTTTTCATTTTGTCATCTTAGTGGCATTTTTTAAAATGCCAAGTTTGTAAAAACTTCAGTGATTTTGTATACTCATGGATATATTTTAATGGTCATAAAAATATTTTTCAAAATCAGTAACCAACAATTCCCGCATAAAATAGGAGCCAAATCTGATATCTAATATAAATTGAAATTTATGAGGAAACAGAGCAACCAAATTAATACCAATTTTTTTAATCAAAAACATAAGATATCAAATCATATTTCTAGCACATTGTCTTCCATGGTTCATTTTAGTTACAGTATTATCCTTTAATTGTTAAGCTTTCCATCTGGTTTGGAATATTAAGTTCAAGAATTATAAATGTATGGCCTGACAATAAAGGGAAATCATACTATTTTTTCAATTTTTTATTAAATTTTTATCAAATTATTAAATTATTCAATTTTTTATTAATTTATTAAATTACACTATTGGTTAATAGGCTCACAGAGGTTTCAAGTGTACATTTCTGTGCTACAAGATCTGTATATTGCACTGTGTGTCTACCACCCAAAGTCAAGCCATCTTCTGTCATCATATACTAGGTCCGCTTAAGGCTTACATGCTATTTGTTGAATTGGTATAGAGTATGAGGAGTTTAAAAAACTAGAAAATGGCATTCAATAAGATTTTTTAAAAGTTGAAAAGCTATAAACTATCATTAAAGGTAAAATATGTACTATAAAATGGGATCTTAACAAAAAGCAATTGGGATATGTTGATTTAGTGGTGGTTTGCAGAATAATATTGAGGAAACGGAGAAACATTCAGTATTGTAAAAAGGAAGTAACAATGGAGTGAAAGGATTACATAATGGATCATATGATTGGTGCCTCAAGTTTGACATGCACTAAGTATAAATACAGGCTAGTAAGAGAAAACTTAAATATATTTTTTAAAATTTAGCCCTGGCTGGTGTGGCTCAGTGGATTGAGTGCTGACTTGAGAACCAAAAGGTCGCTGGTTCAATTCCCGGTAAGGGCACATGCCTGGGTTGTGGGCCAGGTTCCCAGCTGGGGGCAGGAGAGAGGCAACCGATTGATATCTCTCGCACATTGATGCTTCTCTCCCTTTTTTTCTCCCTCCCTTTCCCTCTGTCTAAAAATAAATAAAAATAAAATCTTTTTTAAAACTAAGATTTTAAAAAAAAATTGTAACAGATGGGGTAAGGTAACAAGAACTTTTGAAGGATGAAAGAGGGCTCATATTTTAGAAACTGGAAAATACAGTGAAAGAATCAAATATTTATCCTGTCTTTTCTTTAAAAGTTGTACCTCAGAGAAACCAAATTGCTGATCACGAAAAGTTTTTTGAAGACGACAAATGCATAAGAAGGAATGACAATATCAACATTTTGCCACCTCATAAATTAAGAGGTTTAGGCAATGATCATCAAAGGCTGTTCGTACCACAGAAAGTGAGACAACAGTTATTATGTGTCTTCTGATGGAAGTACCACCTATACTTCCCTTGGTATTGATGCAATACCACCTATAAAGGATTTTACCAAAAAATTGAACCTAAGCCCTGGCCAGGTGGCTCAGTTTATTGGAGTGTCATGCCTTACACCAAAAAGTTGTGAGTTTGATTTCCAGTCAGGGCATATGCAATAATATTTCTTTCTCACATCAATGTTTCTCTCTCTCAATCTCTCTCTCCTTCCTCCTCCCCACCCCCCAAAATCAATAAGCATATACTCAGGTGAGGATTAAACAAAAATTGAACCTAAATCCAATCTAAACTAGATTTTACATAAAATGCAGGGAACATTAAACTATACCACAGGGATTGAAAGAGCAAAAGCCAGGCTAATAATTCTAAATCATAAGAAACCCAGTTTATTTAACAAATAAATTGCAAGACAAACACAATAAAGACAAGAAGGGAGAATTTACAACAAAAAGAGAGGATGGAGGTGGAGGAGGAGTTATAGATTAAAGGAGATTTCAAAGACATATCAGCCAAATACAATACATGTACCTTGTTTGATCCCAATTCAAACAACACAATTTAGAAAGTACTCATGAGACAATTTGGGGAATTTAAACACTGAATGTTAATTGTTTTACCTGCCAGAATGGCTATCATCAATAAATCAACAAACCACAAATGCTGGCGAGGATGTGAACAAAGGGGAGCCCTTTGCACTGTGGTGGGAATGCAGACTGGCGCAGCCACTGTGGAAACCAGTATGGAGATACCCCCCAAAATTAAAAATGGATCTGCCTTTTGACCCAGCAATCCGACTTCTGGGAATATATCCCAAGGAACCTAAAACACTAATTGAAAAGAATATAATTACCACTATGTTCATTAGAGCATTATTTACAATTGCCAAGATATGAAGGCAATCTAAGTGTCTATCAGTAGATGAGTGGATAAAACAACTGGGCCATTTCCACAGTGTAATGCTACTCGGCCATAAAAAGGAGAAAATTTTGCCCTTTGCAACAGTATGAATGGAACTAGAGAGCATTATGCTAAGTTAAATAAGCCAGTCAAAGAGACAAATGCCATATGATTTCACACATATGTGGAATCTAATGAACAAACTGAACTAACAAGGAAAATGGGGACAGACTCATAGATGGAGAGCAGGACGACAGCTAAGGGTTGGGGGTGGACGGATGCAGCAAAAAGGGAAAAGGACTCATGGACATGGACAACAGTGTGGTGATTGTGGAGTGTGTATATAAGGGGACTAAATGGTAATGGAAAAAAATACAATTAAAAAAACACAGTTCATTGTTTTAGATGTGATAATGTAATTGTGATTATGTTAATTTCTTTTTTCCTTATTTATTTCTCTTTCTCCTCTTTATTCCCCTCCGCCTTGCACCCCACTCCCACCAGCATTCCCCCTCCCTTAGTTCATGTCCATAGGTTGTACGTATAAGTTCTTCAGCTTCTCCATTGCCAATATTATTCTTAACCTACCCCTGCCTATTTTGTACTTACTATTTATGCTTCTTATTCCCTGTACCTTTCCCCCTATTCTTCCCCCTCCCCCTCCCCTCTGATCTCCATTTCTGTGATTCTGTTCCTGTTTTAGTTGTTTGCTTAGTTTGTTTTTGTTTTTGTATTTGTTTTTGTTTAGGTTCAGTTGTTGATAGTTGTGAGTTTGTTGTCATTTTACTGTTCATAGTTTTGATCATCTTCTTCTTAGATAAATCCCTTTAACATTTCATATAATAAGGGCTTGGTGATGATGAACTCATTTAACTTGACCTCATCTGGGAAGCACTTCATCTTCCCTTCCATTCTAAATGATAGCTTCGCTGGATGGAGTAATTTTGGATGTAGGCCCTTGTCTTTCATGACTTTGAATACTTCTTTCCAGATCCTTCTTGCCTGCAAGGTTTCTTTTGAGAAATCAGCTGACAGTCTTATGGGAACTCCTTTGTCGGCAACTGTCTCCTTTTCTCTTCATGCTTTTAAGATTCTCTCCTTATGTTTAATCTTGAGTAATGTAATTATGATGTGCCTTGGTGTGTGCTTCCTTGGGTCCAACTTCTTTGGGACTCTGTTGAGTTTCCGGGATCTCCTGGAAGCCTATTTCCTTCGTCAGATTGGGGAAGTTCTCCTTCGTTATTTTTTCAAATTAGTTTTCAATTTCTTGCTCTTCCTCTTCTCCTTCTGGCACTGCTATGACTCGGATGTTGGAATGTTTAAAGTTGTCCCAGAGGTTCCTAAGCCTCTCCTCATTTTTTTGAATTTTTGTTTCTTCATTCTGCTCTGGTTGAATGTGTATCTCTTCCTTCTGCTCCAATTGTTGATTTGAGTCCTAGTTTCCTTCCCTTTACTGTTGGTTCCCTGTATATTTTTATTTCACTTCACATAGCCTTCACTTTTTCCTCCATTTTGTGACCATACTCAACCATTTCTGTGAGCATCCAGATTACCAGTGTTTTGAATTGTGCATCTGATAAGTTGTCTACTTCTTCATCACTTAGTTCTATTTTTGGAGCTTTGATCTGTTCTTTCATTTGAGCCATATTTCTTTGTATCAGCACACCTGTTACATTGGAAGGGGCAGAGCCTTAAGTATTCACCAGGGCAGGGGAACCTAGGTCATTGCATTGTGACTGTGTGTGTGTGGAAGGAGTCCAAGATGCAGCAAGGGCAAGGGTCTGAGAGGGAACAATGCTGCTTGCTTGGCTCTCAGCCAGCTTTCAGTCACTTCCCCTGCTACCCACAGGCAAATTGGGCCCTTCTGGTGCTGATTCCCAGGTGAGTTCTAGGATCCTATGGGCCTCTCTGATGCACTCTCCTGAGAGGCTGGGAGTTTTTCTTGCTGCTGCAATCCCCACAGGTTTTTACAACCAGAGATTTTGAGGTTTTCTTTTCCTGCACTGGAATCCTGGGTTGCATGGCCTGTCTCGCTCCCTACCTGTTCCTCCCAGGTTATCCACCTCAAGTGTGGGACTGCCGGGTCCTCCAGCCGCCGCCTTCCCACTCATCCTCTCCGCCCCAGCAGCCCATCTCCGCCCCTCCTGCCAGTCTGGATGAATGTTTCTTCTTTAACTCCTTGGTTGTCAGATTTCCATACAGTTCGATTTTCTGGCAGTTCTGGTTCTTTTTTGTTTTTAAATTTGTTGTCCTTCTTTTGGTTTTGTGAAGAGGCAGAGTGTACCTACCTATAACTCCATCTTGGCTGGAAGTGATTATGTTAATTTCTTACAAGTCCCTGAGTTTTAGAGACACTCTGAAATATATATTAATAAAATTTTACAATCTCTGGGATTTGCTCCAAAATAATATAGCAGATCCTACTTCTGGTAATGGCTGTCTAGAGAGGCTGGCTAATCCCCCTCCACAGATAGCAAGTTTATTATTAAAAATTACAAAATCCAATATTTCAGAGCACTAGAAAGTGACCACGTGCTGGCAAATACTTAGTAAGTGTCCTTTCATGAAAAACTGCTGCTAAATAATTGCATGTAATCTTATGGCATTCGTGTCTGGAGGGCATTGCTATCGCCTCAGGTTAGGTGATGAAACTTGCAGATTTACTGGACAATGATGTCAGATTCCATTGGGACTAGGTGGCAAAGCAGCTTGAAATTTAAGTGATTCTAGAAGCAAGACAGTTATATAAGAATTGAGATAAAATTTACAGACATCCCTAACTAATTGATAGACTACACATTCACACAGGAGATCCCAGGAATTCCAGCAAAATTAAAAGCCTGGAGGAATTGTGAATTTGCTTTTTTTTGGAATACAGTCCTTAACCTACACACAGCTTGTGCAGCAGGGGTAAACAGTTGTCCAAAGATAAACTGTACCCATATTACTGGTTGACTCTCAGTGCCAGTACAATAAAGAACCCTAGAGACCTAGAGAGTCAGGCTCAAAAAAACAAGCATTAAAACCGTGGTACATTTACACAATGGAATACTACACAGAAGAAAAAAAGAAGGAATTCCTACCATTCGTGACAGTATGGGTGGAACTGGAGAGCATAATGCTAAATGAAATAAGCCAGGCAGTGAAAAACAAATACCATATGTTCTCATCTGTTAGTGGAACCTAATTAACAAAGCAAACAAGCAAGCAAAATGGAACCAGAGTCACCGAAATAAAAGACAAACTGACAGGGACCAGAGGGGTGGGGGGAGGAACATAATGGGGGAAAGAAGGGGAAGGGTCAATTCAGGGAGCATGTATAAAGGACCCCAGACAAAAACAATGGGGAGGGGGGAGGATTGAATGCGGGGGTGTGGGCAGCGGAGAGTAATGGGGGAAAATGAGGACAACCGTAATTGAACAACAATAAAATTTTGAAAAAGAAGCAAAAAAAAAAAAAATTAGCAGCAACATTAAGGCTACCTATTGTGCTGAAGACAGATTTCATAACTTGCATCCAGGGAGAGTAATTGCCTACTGAAACAAAAAGCAATAACCCTTAGAACAAAACAGAATCTACAACATATTCTATATAATGTCGAGTTTTCATTCAATTAAGAATTACTAGACTTGAAAAGAAATGGACAAGTGTTACATTGTTCTAAAAAAAGAAAATTCCACTTCTGGTATAGAAACAAAAGAACCAAAAGGAGAAAGTCAAGTAGATATTTGTATACCAAAGTGCACAGAGGCATTATTTGCAATAGCCAAAAGATGGAAACAACCAAGATCCGTTGATGGATGTAAGAGTAAACAAAATATGCCATGTACATACAATGGAATAGTATTCAGCCTTAATAAGGAATGAAACTGACACATGAAGCAACATGGCTGGAGCTTGAAGACATTACGCTAAGTGAGATAAGAGAGCAAAAGAATGAGTATTGTATGATTCCACTAATAGGAGTTACCTGGAAAACCCAGATTCATAGAGACATGGCAGAATAGTATTTACCAGAGGCTGGGAGGAAGGGAGAATAGAGAGTTACTGTTTAACGAGTATAGAATTTCAGTGCAGGAGGAAGAAAACATTATAGATATGGACAGTGTTGATAGTGGCACATCGGTGTGAATGTACTTAATGCCCCTAAACTGAATGGGTAAAATGGTAAATTTTATGCTATATGTATTTTACCACATTAAAAAATAAGTGAATACTCAACAATAAGAAACCAAATAACCCAATAAAATAATTAGCCGAGATTTGAATAGAGTTCACAAAAGAAGACACAAATGGCTAAGAAGAATATGAAAAGATGTCCAATATTTTTAGTCATTAGGAAAATCAAAATAACACCACAAGATATCACTACCTAGAATAGTCAAAATCAAAGGATGACAATACCAAATGTTAGTGAGGATATGGAGCAACTTGTCCTCATATATGTTGCTGGTAGTGATGGAAAACGGTACAGCCATTGTGGAAAACAGTTCTTAGTTACAAAGGATTGAGTGCCAGGCCCTTGATACATGTCCTAAAGTTTCTTGTACCCCTACTCACCTCAGACATGAAACCTGTGAGGTCCTCATTAGTATAGCTTCTGGGTTATAGTTACAAAGAGGGGAAAAACTGAAACAAGATGGGCATCACAGCCAGCCATATGCACTGACATTCTTTTTTACATCTACTAAAGCAAAATGGATACTAAAGAAGGGTAAATATTTGTGCAAAAACATATAAATCCAGTATGGGAACTTCAACCAGATAAGTACAGAAACTAACTCTTTACATCTCTGACATATTTTATTGTGTCATAACAATAATGACCAGCTGATCTTACCTGACAAAGGAAGCTGCTTGGGAAAGAAAACTAGCATGAACTCCATGTTACATATTTGTTGCTAAAATAAGTATAAACATTTAGGAATAATTACCATTTGCTGAATGTGGGCATCTTGAACTTCACGACGCTCTTTATCAGTTTTGCATTTTTTCTCCTTTTCATGCTCCCAGAAAATCTGATCTGCTTTTATGACAGCCAGCAATTTTTCTTTAGCCTCTATTTTTCCTTGTCTTTCTTCTTCCTCTTTATTTTTCATCTAGATGTTAAAAGGGAAAGAAAAACATTAAAACCATGTTTAGCGGCCAGTGCTCTCTAGATAAGGCATGGATTCAGAAAGCTGCAAGCAGTAAACCGTCCAGGAGCAATGCAAGGGCAGAATGTTTTATGAACCTGGGCTGATTGCCATGCGGACAATTTACTTTGGCTTTATTTCTTGAATATCAGGACACACACAAGGAAAATGTAAATAAAATCATATTTCTTTAAAAAGAAAATACAGAAACAGAAAAAAGCAAGATCTTTTCAAGGTAGGGAAATAATTATAGCTGAAAAAAAAATTAGTTGCTACAATGTTTATAAATTATCCAATTTAATGTTATGACAGTCATATGGGAAATAAATTCTGAAGGATTAAGAAATACAGAAATGCAATGGGGTTATTTTTACTTGATGTCTTGAAAGCATTCAAATTAAAAATATATTAAGAGAATAAAAATTTTTATTTCAGATGGTTCTAAAACAAGAGATTATTACTTTGCATCTCTAAATATATTATTTGTAATTCATTGTCATGTTATCTTCTATTAGAAAGTAAATGTGGTCTGATTTCAAGAATATAGAAGATAATTCATACGTTGTTTTTCAAATATCTAATTTTTTTTTTTTTTTTTTTTGGTCAGAGATAACAGAGGAGTTGGAAACTACAGTGAAAGGGCTTAAATTTTTTTGTTTAATTTTATTTGTCAAAATTAAATTACTTACCACAGTGTTTCTATATTCTTCAATTGCTTTTAATTCTGCTTTGTTTTTTTCATATTTCTCTTTTTCTCTTTTTTCCCAGATGGCCTCAGCTTCTGCAATATCTCTAGCAATAATCAAATCTTCATTGTCAAGCTTCTGTTTTATTAATTCGCTCAGGAAGTTATTTATTCTTTCTCTACGTTCCTCCATTAGCCTATAACAAAATAACCATCACGCCAAATTTTCAAGAATAAATCTGCTACAGAGCCAATACAATTTGAAAAGATGGATCCTTTAGTTTTTTACAAGACTGAAAGGAGCCTCACTGCTATACATATATTATATATATTTTATATTATATATTTATATTATATATTTTATATATAAAAATATATTGTTTTAAGTGGGAATTATTTTTTAATAATTCATTTTTAGAATAAAGCATGCAGTGTCCCCCCCTTGTCTGTGGTTTTGCTTTCTGTGGTTTCAGTTGCCCGTGGTCAACCACAATCTGACAATATTAAATGAAAAGTTCCAGAAATAAACAATTCATAAGTTTCAAATTGCACCCCATTCTGAGTAGTGTGATGAAATCTCACTCTGTCCCACCGGAGACATGAATGAGCCCTTATTCAGTGTACATATGCTGTACACCTGCCTGTCAGTCACTTAGCAGCCGTCTTAGTGATCAGATCAAATACTATCATATGAGAATAGTAATGTATTCTAAGAATTCAAAGGGAGTAATGCATGCGATAGGATCTTGTGTATGTGTATGTTCAATACGTATAGGAAATAAAGTGTTAAAATTCTCCACAGTGAAAAATATTAAAAAATATTATACTACCAGGTTTACTCTGACATTGGAGACTTGCGTTATAAAATAAATCACAGGACTTTCTTCAAATAAAATCTCAAAAATATTTAGTAAAATTTATAAAATTCTGAATAAATCCATTCTCTTACTCTCTGCAAAACTGGATAAAAAGGGGGGACTATTTTTCAAAGAAATGGGGCATTTTTATTTGGGAAATTGAGAAAAAATACTTTTAAATTTAAATGTGACAAATTCACTAAATTACTGAGTGAATTTGCAAAGCAGTGTAGGAGAAATTATGAGAAAGGGCACAGAGCATGTCCCAAGGGAATTACACTCTGAAGTGGAGAAAAGACTCTTACAGCCAAAGGGTGATAAATGCCATGAGAAAGCTAGCAAATAATATGGGGAGAGAAAGAGAGAGAGAGAGAAAGAAAAAGAAGGAAGAAAGACTTCAAGGAAAAGGCGACATTTCATGTAGGCTTTCAAAAACAGTATCTTGAACACTTTTGATTGCCTGCTGTGTACCAGGCATTATTCCAGGTGCTGGAGACGACAATAAACAAAAACATTAAAAGTCTCTGTCCTCGTGGAACTTTCCTTAGAACTGGGGTCGGGGGACAGTAAACAAAACAAATAATTAAAAGAGTGCTATGGCCTGCAATGAGGAAAAAGACCAGTTAAAGGGATAAGCCACATGGGGGGTGGGGTTGGAATTTTAAGTAAGGTGGTCAGGGAAAGTCTGGAGGAGAAGGCAGTATTTGAGGGACGGTCTGACGGAGGCAAGGGAGGTGAGCATTCCCCAGGGAGGGCACGGAGCAGTCCAGCGCCAACGAGGACGAGGGAAGGAAGGAGAGAACAGCCTCCCTGCGGTCTGAGAGGGAGGCTGGCGGCAGCTGGGAACCGGGATGGGTGCAGAGCCTTAGGGGCCGCAGTAGCAGCGCTGTGACGTGAAGCCACCAGAGGATTTGGCACAAGGGAAGAGCCGGATCTCTAGACAGAAGCACTGTGTACTGCTGCTGGCTCCTCACCCTCACTTCCCTCATCCCAAGCTGCTCAGTAAACTGACTTCTGAATCCGATAAACAATTTTTAAAATCTCATTTAATTCCTTTATTGATTTAGCAGCAATGACTGCTCTTTTCTTACTGAAACTCTCCTCCCTTGCTGTTTCTCTGGTTTTCCTCCAACCTCTAGTAACTATTCTGTGGTCTTCACATTACCTTCTTTCTCTATTTGCCCTTTAAATGTGGACGTCCTCGGGACGATGACACCTTCGTTTCTTACCTGTTCACCCGAGGTGACTCACCCGTGTCCACAGTTCCATTAGCCACTTCCATATATATTGATGACTCGCAAAGCCATTCCCAGCTCATATCCCTATTCTAGAACAGAGATTTCCAGTATTTCCAGCCACCTACCTACCAGATCGACATCCTTTATATTCCAAGGAAACCCCAACTCACATGCCCCTAACTGAAATCTCATCACATTACTAAATGCCCTAGTCATACGTAAAATGATGACACCTTGATTCCTAAAGATTACTCTCATATCACAACTTCTGACTTATAATAAAATAATTTCAGACAGTACTTTATTAATTACATAAATTATTTTAAAAGCTCACCTGTGTGTTTCAGCTTCTTTTTCTTTCCTCATTTCAGTAAGACGCTTTTTTGCTGTGATAAATTTTTTAAGCTTTTCATCTTCCTCCTCTTGCTGCTGCCGTTCTACAGCTTTGATGACATTTTTATCATTCATATATTCCTTGGAGAAAAAAATTCTGTATTATCCTATCAAGAAAAATATCTTTCAACATATAAATATCTAACAAGAACCTGTCAAACGTTCACAGCTTCTGACCCAGTTATTTCCCTCTTGGAAATTCATCCCAAAGAGATCATCAGATTTTTACTTACCATGTGCTTCCTCTCAAAGTTATTTATATTGGTGACAAGTTGGAAACAACCTCTAAATATTCAATAATGGAGAAATGGTTAAATAAATTATACTCTCAGTGACACAGGAATACAAATAATATCACCGGTGGGGAGTGGGGGACAGAATGTAGACACTACATAGCATATTTTAGCAAATATATACAAATACAAGCTTATAATGTATATATAACTGGAAGAAATGTATCAAATGTTACCACTGGTTCTCTCTGGGGTATAAGATTATAGGTGACTTTTATATCTTCTTAATGCCTTTCTGTATTTCTTTTCAAATATCTCCTTTCTTTAAAAATATGTAATTAAAATAATTCTATAATCAGGACAGATACATTATACATATACAATTTTAATTTAATGTTTAAATAGTTAATATAGTCATGTGGCACACACATAAAAAATACTTAAAAGACACCTACCCCACCCACTCTCTACCTGCCTATTGTTAATTCTACCCATCAGACTCAATCACTGTGAAACCAGCTCCTAGCCCAGAGTTTAACACATAAACAAGAAAATATACAGATGTATATTTTAACAAAAATTTTTAAAGAGCTATTTTTAAAAACAAAATATAAAAATCTGTTTACATTAGCATATATTCCATGACCCAACCAGAGTTATTCATCATAAAAATAGATGCCTTTGAATGCAATAGCCTGGGTATACAGATATATTACTGTATTTTGTTACTATACATAGATACCAATTCAAGTTGAAAGTTATTAGGTTTACCATTAAATATCCAATATATTTATATCTCAGGGTCTACTCTACGTCTAGCACTCCTAATTACTCTTCTACTTTATGGGTTGTTACTTCTAAAAGCCTGTAATATGGTTAAGGAGATGCATTAGTCGACATGAAAAGCTAATGAAAATAGAAAATTATTAGAAGTGATTGTTTTGAATGATTTCTTAAAAGATTTATTTTGTTGTTTTTTCTAAGTTTACTGTAATATTCATATATATTTTTATAATAATAAAATATAGAGTTAATTAACATAAAGTTAATTCTCATTTCTAAAAATTGAAAGCCTCAGCCGAAGGTCCTAAAGCTAGTCAGGGGCAGAGTCAGCGTTCAAAGCAAGGCCTGCCCCATTCCAAAGTGACTCAGAGATATAACAGTGTTGCATCCATGAACCAAGAATATCATTTTGTGCAAAGAGGACAATCAGATTATAAGTAACTCTTAGATATTAAAACTTTGATTGCTAACGTAAAACTTCAATAGAAGGTGCCCTGACCAGCATGGCTCAGTTGGTTGTGCCACAAAGTGAATGGTCGCTGGTTGATTCCTGGTCAGGGCACATGCCTGGGTTGCAGGCGGTCCCGGCGGGGGTGCACTGGGATGTCTGCGAGAGGCAACTGATCGGTGTTTCTCTCATACATTGATTTGTCCCTTCCTCTTTTTCTCTCTCCCTTCCCCTCTCTCTAAAAGTAAATAAAGTCTTTTTTAAAAAAAAAAAAAAGTTCGACAGAAGGTTTAAAGACAAAGTTGAAGATAACTTTCAAACAAACAAACAAACAAACAAATGGCAGGAATAATTAACTGCCCACCCAAGATTCTTTCTTGTCTTTTGTGTTAGTAGCAGGACACAGCTTTTGTTCAGGGTGGCAATCTGCTCAGCAAAAAGACACTATTTCCAAGCTTTCCTAGGTGTGACTGAATTATGATCAGTGAGATTTAATGGAAATACTTAAGAGGGACTTGCAGAAAATTTCCTTAAAAGCAGAACAGACAGGGCATTCTTTTTTTGTCCTTCATCCTTTCTTCCTTCTTGTTGCCTTGAATGTGGATATGAGGAAGGAGCTCCAGCAGCTGCTATTCAGAGTCATGAGGCAACCTTGAGGACAGAAGCCATCTGTGTTCCAAGAAGAGCAAAGCAGAAAAAGAGAAGCTATCTCAGCCCTAACCGGTGTGGCTCAATTGGTTGGGCATCGTCCTGCAAACTAAAGGACTGCTGGTTCAGTTCCTGGTCACATGCCTGGGTTGCAGTTTGGTTGCTGGTCTTGGCACATAGGAGAGACAACCAATTGATGACTCTCTCACATCAGTGTTTCCCTCCCTCTTTCTCCCTCCTTTTCTTTCTCTCTAAAAAAACAAAATCTTTTAAAAAGACAGAGAGAAAGAAGCTATCTCAGTTGAGCTAAATCTTCAACTACCAGGGCAAAGGTACAGAAAATGTCTAACATTGAGAAATAGTCTATCTTCACAACTTAATACTGTATATATGATAACTCTCATTTTAAGGATAGGAAAATAATTTGAAAAAAGTCTCATTCTCTTTTCTTGTTCATGCATGAGAGCATATCCACATAAAACCATAGCAAATATAGCTTCCCCCAAAGTTTACTTAAAAACCCAGTCTAATAGCAACTTTTCTATTTCACTATTTATACAAATATATTAAAATTTAACCATTGAACTTTGTACATATTTTGAAGAGATGCTGTATTTCCAACTTACAAAAAACAGTTTCCTTCGTTCATCTGTCTCTTCTTTTTTCTTTTCTAGTTGTTTTCTAATTTCTATTTCATATAATAAATTCTGTTGCTTTATTTCCTCAGCATCCTTTTCTTTACTTTTTCTCCTTCTTTCTTCTTCCTCTTTATGTTCTTTTATTCTAAAGCAAAAAAAAAAATTATAATTGAAAACAAAGCAAAAAAAGAAAGGTTATATTTTAAAGAAACGAATAAGATTCTAACCTGGGATGACTTGAAGGTACAAAGAAGAACCTGTGGATTTTGGGGGGGACATGACAGATATATAAAGAGCAGTGGTTAAGTCAAATCCAAATTGGTTAGCCCAGAATTGCCAATATGTGCCTTCATTTGAAATGTTTCATTCCTCACCAAAATTAAGGCCTACACTCTGACTTCAAATATTTCTTTCCTTTAGAAAGAATCAGTAAACTGGAGGACATGTATGGTGGAATGGTGACATTATTTTTCAGAAAAGTCCCTCATCCCTGGTGCTTCTCAATCGCAGGACTAGATGATGCTATCTAAACCATGGGCCCAGCCACTCAGGAGAGGGGTTTCCATGGTTGGAGAGAAACAATGTTTTCGTACCTAACTGGCTACTTTCGTTGTCATTCTTCATGTAGCCAAATACTGACTAGCTATTCGTGCCTCTGAATGGTAAGCCATCAAATGCTGGTTCTCTCAAAGGGTTTAATGTGAGTTCTTCAGAGAGTCCTAAGCAGCTTCCTCGCTGCAGAGCTCTGACCTGAAGATTTAGCTCCAGCTCTGCCTCTTCATCCCCGCTCCGAAGACCCACCACTTCCCCTACAGCGTCTGCCGCCATCAGTGGGCTGCAGGCTCTGAGTGCCCTCCTCTGGCTGTCCATCCTCTGCATCCTGGCAAGACGCTGGAGCCTGAGCTGTCTACTTGCCCGTGGGTCCTTGTCAGCCGGGCAACTAGTGTGCAGGCTCCTCTGCCACTCTCCACCTACTGTCTCTAGCTTTTTGGGTTTTGTTTTTTCTAAACAGGCAGGCACAGGGTAGAGCAACAATCTACTAAATGAACTAAAAGACTGAGGAATAAACCTTTCCTTCCTAAGTGCCTAATCAAACACAAACTTTGTTTTTCTTGGAGTCTCCTCCCTTAGCTTCAGGGAAGGGAAGTTCCCTTCTGCTGGGCCACTGAGGACTACACAGTTAAAAGAGCCAGGAAGTCCCCTGTGGTGTTAAGTCACTACAGGACAGGAGATTCGTTATCCTTCTGTACAGAGGAAGCAGCTTTGGAGTCATAGTCACTGTCTTTAGAAGCTGCTAAGAAAAAAAGCCAATGCTGTCCACAGCTGAACCAGGTTTGTGATTGCCCTAGGAATACTAGGTTTTCACATTCTGTTTAGGTTGTTAGGACTATTTTGTACTTTATCAGTCTCTCAGAAGCAAACTCGCAAGTTAACAATTAGGATTTAAAGGGCATTATAAAAAGAGATGCATCTAATTTTGAGAAATGAAGTTTCTGAAGTGTTGAAATTGCTGCTTTTAGGGAAAACAACATGGTATAAAAAATTTGCAATTTTAACATTCCTTAGTGAATCTGGGACTCACCAACATTATACCTATGTTTAACAATGCATTGTTTTCACAAAGAAATTTACCTATTCTGAGAGTGAAAAAGAACAAAAAAAATATATCTAGGTCAGTGAAGGGGCAATATTGTCAGTGAATTATATAGATAATATATAACTATTAAATAATATTTAATTACCTATCAGCAAAGACTTTTACCTTAGTTTGGGTAGGTTACTCAACTATCTGCCATTAATTTAGCATAATGAAAAGATAACATGTATAAGGTTATCCAAGATTCTCTAGTTTAGAGGAAAAAAATACATGACATTTTTATCTCTGCTTTCAATGCCCATGTCCACAGGAGATACCAATAATCAACACAAAACTTTTCCTGCTGAGTCTTGGTCCTTCTCAAACCCAATGCTCACGATGAGCAGCCCCTACCTAACGATCATGGTAAAATTTGTCATGAAACCTCTATGCTGTCTCTGGTTCACATTCTGAAGGTCCCAAATCTGTATTTGTCTAGCCCAGATCTGACATGAGCCTATATAGAGGTTGTAGAGTCCTCCTATATAAGCAAGTGGGACCCCTACCCAAAATTTGGTTCATATGACACTCCACACATCAAGAGAATTTGAGAGAAAGTATTACATGAGAAACTACTGGAAGAGCTGTGCAGACACAGGTGGGTCTGGATTGACTTGGGCAAAGCAGAGGGAGTAGGTTTGGCCTTTACTGTGATGAACGGATGGGACTAGGGAAAAGCTCCCGGACACAGATTTAAATTTCCTGCTGGTGCCAAAAGAGGAAACAAGTCCAAGAGCCTTCTTATGAGCCTGTTCAGATGTAGGGCCAAAGGAGAAGAGAGGGTAAGACCTAAAAAGAAATCAGTAAACATCAAAAATGAGGTCTGACTCTGTAACAATAGACACACGTGATTCTTGTAGAGACAGCCCACTGGGCATCACCACCATGATGCCCAGTTTATATTCACACTGTTTAAAACCAATTCATCTTCCTCCTCTTCTAAACAAACTGACACTTTGGTCTCCTGTTCCTGTCATGTTGGATAGTACCACCTTATTTGCAGCTGTCTATGCTAGAGATGTAAGAATTATGTGTGTACTTGACTTTCTATAATCTTTAGATCTCTCATTTATTTATTTAACAACTACTCACTGAATTTCTACTATAATGACTAAATGAACAAATACGGTTTCCACCTTTAAAAAGCTTACATTCCTAATGAAGATAGGCAGAAATGAACAAACAAACACAACTAAATAGACAAATAATGTAATTATAAATCCAATTAGGTGTTATAAAGAAAATAAGAGACCAAGAAAACAACCGAGTTATTTATTTTACATAACTTTGCACAGAGCTGTTCCCCAATACCAGGAAGACCTCTTTGGGCTGGTGGAAACCCCACAGGTGAAGAATAGAAGGGTAAAATCCAGAAGGATGAAAAAGCATGTGAGAAGGCCTTGAGTCAGGAGAGGGTTTGTCAAGTGCTTGAGACATGGAAGATCTGGAATATTAGGATTAGGTGCAGGAGCTGATCTCTTCTGAAAAGCCTTCTCTACACCAGATCAGATGTCCATTTTGTATGCTTCCACATGCCATAAACATATATTTGAGCTTATATAGAGGTTATATAGTCCTCCTGTAAAGGCAAGTGGAACCCCTTTGACAAATATTTGACCAATAAATAAATAAATAAATAAGTTGGCAAAAAAGTTTGTTTGGTATTTTTCCGTAAGATGGCTCTAGTAGTAGTGCTTAGTTGTCTTTAACTTCATTCGAAACAATTTTGTTAGATTGTATTGTGACAGCTGTCACGTCAGCATGCATTTTTAAAAAATGTCAAAACTGGTGTATTTTTGTGTAGCCCTTTTAATATTGAAGATGGAAGAAAATAGGCAACATATTCAGCATACTATGCTTTGTTATTTCAAGAAAGGTAAAAACACAACTGAAATTTAAAAAAAAAAGATTTGTGCAGTGAATGGAGAAGGTGCTGTTACTGATCAAATGTGTCAAAAGTGGTTTGTGAAGTTACATGCGTGATTTCTCGCTGGACAATGCTCCATGGATGGGTAGACAGTTGAAAGTTGATAACGATCAAATCAAGACAATGATTGAAAACAATCAATTTTATACCACGCAGAAGATAGCCGACATGTTCAAAATATCCAAATCAAGCATTGAAAATCATTTGCACCAGCTTGGTTATGGTAATCATTTCGATGTTTGGGTTCCACGTAAGTTAAACAAAAAACCTTCTTGATTGTATTCTGCATGTGTTTTTCTACTTAAACATAACAAACACATTCCATTTTTAATACAAATTGTGATGGGTGATGAAAAGTGGATACTTTAGAATAACGTGGAATGGAAGAGATCATGGGGCAAGCAAAATGATCCACCACCAATCACACCAAAGGCTGGTTTTTATCCAAAGAAGGTGATGTTGTGTATATGGTGGAATTGGAAAGGAGTCCTCTATTATGAGCTCCTTCTGGAAAACCAAACAATTAATTCCAACAAATACTGCTCCCAACTGGAGGAACTGAAAGCAGCACTCAAAAACCATCTGGAATTAGTCAACAGAAATCGCCTAATCTTCCATCAGGGTAATGCAAGGCCATATGTTTCTTTGATGACCAGGCAAAAACTGTCCCAGCTTGGCTGGGGAGTTTTGATTCATCTGCTGTATTCACCAGACACTGCGCCTTTGGATTCCCACTTATTCCAGTCTTTACAAAATTCTCTTAATGGAAAAAATTTCAATTCCTGGAAGACTGCAGAAGATACCTGGACCAGTTCTGTGCTCGAAAAGATAAAAAGTTTTGGGAAGATGAAATGATGAAGTTGCCTGGAAGATGGCAGAAGGTAGTGGAATAAAACAATGAATACATTGTTTAATAAAGTTATTGGTGGAAATGAAAAATGTGTCCTCCTTTATTTTTACTTAAAAACCAAAAGAATTTTTTGGCCAACCCAACATTTACCATCTTATTTCCAAGACCACTTGGAAAGGTGATCCTGTGGCCCAAACATCACCTTCACGCAATGACTACAGGTGCGCGAGTGCCCATAAAAGGGTCAGCACTTGCCGGGCAGCTGGCTGGAGATTAAGCTGCTACCTGGAATTATCTCTGAGCTGCCACAGCTGATACAGAAAGAGATTTCTCAAAGGTGACTCCCTGGTCAAATATTTGCCTCCCTTTGCCAACAGTTCTGTCCCTAACAAACCCTTAGATCTCTACACTAAAGAAAAAAACTGTAATAAATCCAAAGGTTACTCTTCTCTTTTTACTGAGGGTTAAAATAACTGAAGAATACAATCTGGCAATACATGCAACCTGAGAATTGAAGTCTATATCACTTAGATATTTATGATTTTGAGAAATAAATATATACACAAAAACCAAACCATAATAACAAGATTTGAGCATATAAAAATAAGTATCTCCTAACTACTAAAAACCATTCAGAAAAGATGACAAAAATCTACAATATTTAAATTAGTAATATCAGTAAATATAAAACTGCTTATTAATCAGTTTTTAATCAATGACAAACATACATCAATATGAAACAACATACACAAGAGAGCAATGGAGTAACCATTTCATGATAATAAAAATCCAAAAAAACAAACATTTACACATTTAAAATGATCTGCCTCACTAAAATTACTAGGAATGTAAGTTGAGAGCTATGATTTATTTTTTGTCCACCAACTTACCAAATAAAGTACTATCCAGAATTGGTTGCAGTATTTAAAAAAAAAAAAAAAAGGTCATCAGACATCATTGATGAATGCACACTTAAAACTTTCTCAAAGAGCAATCTCTTGCAATCTCTATCCAAATGTAAAATCCAGGTCTATTTCAAGAAACCTATCCTGCAAGCCTTGGCCGAGTGGCTCATCTAGTTGGAGTGCGTCCTCTATATCACAAAAAGGTTGCAAGTTCGATTCTGGTCAGGACACATACCTAGGCCATGGGTTTGATCCCCAGTTGGGGAACCTACAGGAAGCAACCCATATATTCTGGCATCAAGATATTCAAGGTATACTGTTGAGTGAAAAGATGAAGTCACAGAAAAGTGTATTGTATAACATCCATGATAAAAATATATACACACTTAAATATGTTCTTATATTAGTAACTTCAATAAAACATTCTGAAGGGATAGTTACAAGACGTTTTATAATGGCTATTTGGGAAGAGGAAAATGGAACTTAAAGAGACAGACGTTGAATAGGGTGCATATGAAGAAGAGCTTTAAAATTTTACTCCACATTTTGCTGTATTGTTTGAATGTAAATAAGCATATGTGAGTTTATTATTTGCAAAAATAATTTTTAAGAGTAGACAAATATACACCTAAATGTATACTCAGTGCCTACGCTGGATCACAGGGTTTCTGATGATTTGTACTTTATTTTTTATTTTAACCGTATTTTGTAATTCTATACTGATCATGCATTGATGACATAATGTTTTAAGTACAAAAAATATTTTTCTTTAAAAATGGCAAAATGTCCACCAATAGAGTACTGTTTAAAATTGTTGATACATTTATACAATCTATACACATTTAAACTACAGTGTAACAAAACTGTTAAACCTCACTTTGGAGAAACAGTGGCCAGTAGACATGGAAGACTTTTTACTGAATCCCCTTTGTGCCTTTTCTTGTTTGTATGTATCAGCTCTTTAGAGAAGTAAGTAAAATTATATACAAATAGAAGCCTCCCCCCAATATATATAGTAGCTACTTTTAAAAAAAGATCAGGTTTTACTTCAATTTACTGACATGACAAGAGCTCATGACATACTGGTAAATGAAAAAAATTTAATAAAATGGTAGTTGATCCAATTTCATTTACTTATTTATTTTTAAAGCGAGGGAAAGGGAGAGAGAGAGGGAAAGAAACAGCGGTTGAGAGAGGACCACCAATCGGTTGCCTCTCAAACGAGCTCTGACTGGGGACCAAATTCACAATGTGCGCATGTGCCCTGACCGGGAATCAAACTGGTGACTTTTTGCTTTGGGGGATGATGCCCAACCAACTGAGCCACACTGGTTAGGGTGATGCAATTTCATTTTACAAAATGTAAATATACATGTGCTCAGAAAAAAAAAAAGTCTGTATCAGTAGATCAGTGATTTCCATGGGCTGAGGGTGAGGATTAGAATTTAGTGCTAAGCGGTATGAGGGAACCTGTTTAGGGTGATGGAAGTGTTCTGTATCCTAATTTGGGTGTGACTATACAGCTCTATGCATTTAAAAAGGTGAATGTTATTAAACGTAAATTATATCTCAATGAATCCAAGCTTCTCTACCACCACCATCAAAAAAGGCCTATATGGCTATATGCCAAAACAATAACAGGTTATTGTGGTCAATTAGATTATTATTCAAAATGGCTCACTCTCACTCCCCACTTCCATGGGAATCCAGTTGTGTGATTCCACCGTTGCTAGGCTTAGCCACGTAGCTTGCTTTAAACTCAAGGTAACCCATATATTTCCTTGACCTTTGCCTTTGGGTTTAGCCATGTTCTTTCAGGCTTGGGCTTGTTCTCTCGCATCTCTGTCAATACCATGAGAAGCTTCCCCCGGACGGCTGCTGTCCTTTCCTAGGACTTTAGAATGAATATACATAGAGCAGATCAGAGCCCTGCCCACAAATAAACCCAGCCAGCCCTTCAGTTTGAAGAAAAGCTTCCAGCCAAGCCTGACCAACCCACAGACACACGAGAAATAAATGTTTATTGGCGAATGCCACTAGATTGGGTGGTTGTTCATTTTGTAACATTATTGTGACAATAGTAACCAATATGTTAACTTTGGGTAAGGAAGTAATAATGATTTTTAACCTCCTTCCTTTTATTTTTTCTATTTATTAGGAATTTTAGCATGCATTACTTTTTGTCTTAAAGATGTTATTTATTTCTAGAGAGAGGGGAAAGGAGGGAGAAAGAAAAGGAGAGAAACATCAGTGTGAAAGAGCAACATAGACTGGTTGCCTCTTGCACGCACCCCAACCTGAGGCTGAACCCACAACCAAGGCCCTGACCAGGAACCAGACCGGCGACCGTTCACTTTGTGGGATGATGCCCAACCAACTGAGCCACACTGGTCAGGAGTAGCCTGTATTCATTTTATAATTTAAAAAAAAAGCTACATCCATTATGAGATAAAAAGGAAGGTAAAAAAGGTAATTTATATATACATACTGTTTTAAATGATCATTGGCAAGAGCCAGTCTCTCTCTGTGTTGTTTTTCTGCTTTTTCTTGTTCTTCTTTAAAAGCTTTTTCGATGTTGATTTTCAATTGTTCCTCCCATTTTTTATCCGATTTTATTCTACTCTTTTGGGATTCAATCTGTGCATCACGTTCCTTCATAACTCTACTAAGAAGAAGTCCTGACTACAAAAAAAATTGCAGTATTTTAAGAAAATAAAGTCTAATTGTGTATAAATATATCAAATTTATATATATACATATAAATACAAGAAAACCCATGTAGTACATGAAAGTTTTTCACTCTTTCTGTCTGGTAAAATTGATATTGCTTTGCATATTCAATGGCCTTTTTTCTTTCTCCTTGTTTGTGTATTGCTTCTTCCACATCAAGAATTTGTCTTTCTGCCTCTATTTCTTCATCACGCTTCTTTTTGGCTTCAAGTTTCTGTTTTCTTATCCCCTGTAAAAAAGAAAAAAGACAAAAGCAGTCTCCTGTTTTCACTTTTCAACTGAATTTTACAAAATTGAACATTATGATGTGATAATTTAAGCTTTCATTTATTGTATTTGCATTTATCATTATTAAAATATGAGGTTACACTCATAAGCTAATTTTTTTAACTGAATTTTTAAGGTAGGTAACATATTTGCATGGTGGAAAACCCCAAAATATTATAAATGCATACAGTAAAACTCTCTCCAATCCTAATTTCTTTCTGCAATCTCTAAGGTAATGACTATTATTAGTTTCTTGTGTTTACTTCTGAAGTTACTTTATATATTTACATAATAATATATACTACTTTTGTTTCTTTTTAAAAAAATCAATAGTATATTTTACATGGTTCTTCTACACCTCCGGGGGGTCTGCCCAATGTCTCATGTCAGATGAAGTCTTTCTTCTCCTTTATGGGTCATGCTTGCTATGTCTTAAGAAAATCTTACCCTGCAATCCTGATGATATTCTATGATTTAATTTTAAGAGTTTTACTGGTTTGCTTATCACATTTACGTCTTTTTTTTATTGTATTTTAATTTATTTTTTCAAATACATTTAGGTGTTTAATCCAGCTGTAATTCATTTTTGTGCATCCTGTGCCATAGGAATATTTTGTTTTTTATATGCCAATTATCTCAATATCAGTTATTGAATTCCTATCCTTTCCCTTCTGAATTGCAATGACATTTCCCATGTATAAGATGGGATTGTTTCTAGGCTCTCTCTTTTTCTTTTGATCTAGTGTTCTGTCAATTTTTGTGCCTATATTGCAGTTTTTGTTACTACATTTACTACATTTCTTCTTCTTTTCCTTTAACACCCATGAAATGTAAAGTATTATGTATAGTGTGTTACTTCTGCATAAAAAATTAGAGGGTATATTCCACTCCACTATCCCTTTACAGACCAGAGGTGTTTTTAGAGTATAATTTACATACACCCTTTTGGATGTATAGTTTTAAAAATGTATTCAGTCACTTATAGAACAGTGCAATCCTCCCAAAATATTCCCTCAGCCTGTTTATGGTGAATCACTACCCCTTGCCTGCAGCCTCTATAACCACTGATCTGTTTTCCTTCCCTACAGTTTTGCCTTTTTCAGGATGTCATAGGTTACATGTATGATATCAGTCATGATCGGTCATGCTATAATTCACAAGCTTTCTATGTCCCTTTTGAAAAACCCGAGACTTCGTCAACCTGGCTAATAGTTTGCCCTGCTCTAGAGATCCCTGGAGACTCTATCCCACCCAACTTATGGGCCCACCTGAGCTCCTTCTCCATATGAATGGCTGGTCTTGACTCACGCTTCACAACCTCCTAAATCCTTCCAAACAAGCAACAGCCAGCCTCAGTGAGCCCCCAGCCCCATACCTCTTGCTAAGGGGCCCAGCCCCAGCACTAAGAGCAACCAGCCTGTATTCACAGCTTGGCTTCACCTGGGAATCTCCAAGCCCAGCACAAGTAGCAGCCATCTCAGATTTCTTCATAGCTTAGGCAGGGTGCCCTGGACAAAACACAGGTCAAGGCTAACCTTGGCCTGCACCACCTGGGAAACCCCAGAGCCTGCGCACCCAGTGGACAGCTCCAGAGCCCGTCAGAGCACCACCACCCTGCCCCTGCACAGCTGATCCTCCACAGAGGGCGGAGGTTCGTGGTCAGTGGTCACAGCCAGTCCTTGCAGCTGGCTGGTCTGGGTAAATCCTTTCCATTGACCTGCCAACAGTAATCAAAGCTCAACTACAAGAGGATGGTGTACTCAGCCCACACAAAAGGTGTGCCTCCAGTACCCAGCTTGGGTGGCAGGGGAGGCTGTGCTCCTACAGGGGACCCTACAGGACACCTACTGCATTGGGCCACACTACCAAGAATAGGAATCATAGCAGCTCCACCTAATACATAGAAACAAACAAATTCAAATTAAAACTACAATGAGATACTACTTCATACCTATTGGAATGTCTATAATGAAAAATTATATTAGAATGTCTGTCCAGAGCAAGTTGGTGAGAATGTGGAGCCAAAAGAACTCTCATATACTCCTGGTGGGAATGTAAAAACTACTTTCTAAAACAGTCTGGAAGTTTCTTACAAAGTTAAACATACATCTATGGTTCAGCTATTCTACGCCAAGATATTTACCCAAGAAAAATGAAAGAATATGTCCACACATAGACTTACACATGAATGCTCATAAGCAGCTTTATTTATAGTAGCTGAAATCCGGAAACAGCTCAAATGCCAATATTTGGTTGATGTCAAACCATCAACAATTGAACAGATCAACAAATTGTGGTGTTTCCTTACAATGGAATATCACTCAGCATAACAATGAATGAATAATTTATACACACAACAACATGATAGAATTCCCTGTTAAGTGTAATTTATAATAGAAAGCAGATCAGTGGCTGCCTAGAGACAGCAGAGGAGCAGGGAAGACTGAGAGGGAGTGAAATGGGCTATGAGCAAACTTTCCTGGGGCGATGAATGTGTTCATCTTAATTATAACGATGGTTTCAGGGGTGTATATGTCAAAACATATCAAATTGTACATTTAAATATGTCCATTGTATTGTATATCATTTATAGCTAAATAAAGCTGTTGAAAATGTGTTTCAATGCATTTGTATGCTCTACATGTAAAAAAATACTTATGAGTGCTAAGAAAAAAGAGTAAGCTTTCAGTGCTTGTGTACTCCTCGGTGGTTCATACTTACTGCATAGGTATTGGTCCAGTGTTTTACCACTTCTTGGGATCGGAGGTGCATTTCTTTCTTTGCCTTTCGTTCTGCACGAAGGCATGCTGCTTTTCTTGTCAAGCTGTCAAGGCTGTCTCGGATCCTTTTCCACTCGTTGTGTGGAATTATGGTGACCTGCTGGAGGTCTACTTTGCTAGGTAGGAGAGGTGGATAGAGAGCTTGATCTTCTTCAGATTTCTTTATTTCTAATAAAGTTTTTAAAATAAATATTAAAGACTGTCAAGACGAGTGTGTGATATTTTTTCTCAGACATTTCCACATTAGCAGGATACCTAAGAATTGTTCAAATAATTTTATTCTTTTTATCTTAAGAAGAGCTGGGATTAAATGGAAAGTATATGATACCTTGAAATCAGAAGACATAGATTTGAGTCCTTGATTGGCCATTTCCTTACTGTGTAAAATAAAGCTTGGGCAAGTCATTTAACTTCCTGATGGCTTGGTATCAACATCTTTAAAGTTGAGATCAATTTTACCTACTCCAACAAGCTGCTATAAAAGCATTTTTCTTTCTTTCCAAAGATTTTATTTATTTTTAGAGAGAGGGGAAGGAAGAAAGAGAGGAAGAGAAACATCAATGTAAGAGAGAAACATAGATTGGTTACCTCTTGCACACCCCCTACTGGGGACCTGGCCCGCAACCCAGACATGTGCCCTCACTGGGAACTAAACCAGTGACCTTTGGATTTGCAGGCTGGCACTCAATCCACTGAGCCACTCTGGCCAGGGCAAAAGCATTTTTCAAATTTAACAAAGTAGCAGTATTATAAATGGAGAACTTGGGGAATGTTCATCTTTTCAGGTTGTAGACATTGTAATTGATTGTATTCAACCCCTTCCTAATGGAGTAGCAGCAAGGTAATTTGGAGAACGGACTGCAGTTCCGAGGCTGGGCCTCATTAGTTTAAGAATACTTACATCTCCCTTGGTAATAATTATTTCTGTAATAAGCAAAGACATAGGAGAAGAGGTTTATTTGAGACTTTTTAAAAAGCTCTTCCTTATTCTTCTGGTAAAGACATCTGAGAATGACTCTCAAGCTAGATATGAACAAGGAAGCAAGAAGGCCAGACAGGCAGCCATCCTATGACCATAAGAGGAAGCAGCCTTATATGACTGTTACTGTGAACCACAAACAGGAAACAAGGAAGCATTTGGGGCAATGAGGATCTCCCTATACTGCTAGATCAATCAGACCTGAAGCCTGGAGTTCCTGTTATACAGGGTGGGGCAAAAGTAGGTTTACAGGTGTTTGTATGGAAAATAATACAATAATCAATAAATAACAGTACAAGAATAAACTGTTTCACATGCTTGAAAATGTAAACCTACTTTTGCCCCACCCTGTATGAGCAAATAAATTTCTTTATTTTTAAACGTGATTAAGTCGGGTGTCCTGTTATATGAATTTAAAAGCATCCTAAATAACACCACGAAGCTGATAACAGCTCCTATCTGAGAAATACTCTTTCCATCAATGGAGGTTCTTAATTATAAGCAACCAAAATCACTCTAGCTAGTTTAAGCAGAAAAGGAATTCATTAAGGGATACTAAGTAGTCTACTCAATCTTTCAGAGAGCCAGAGAATTATCTTTGGTCACACAAATAACATCATGACGTCATGACATTCCAGTGAAGGCTCAAGGTAAGTGGCAACGGGTAGACACCTCAACTTGCTCCACTGGATACTATGTATCTGAACCTTCACCAATGTTGTTGCTGAAATTGATACACTTTTGCTGCCACTCTCTCCAGAAAATGGATTCAACCTATTGTTTGCTTCCTCATATTGCTTCTTCAGAATGTAAATTTAGTACATGTACAGTTGATTTGTCACATGCCTGTACACTGGCCACAAAGGAAGCAGAAAAACTGAATTCTGCCTTCTACTCTAGGAGGTAGGGACTTGTAAGGAGGAAATTCACCCAAATAGGAAGTTCATTTGAATAATGATGGGTGGCCACAGACACAACAAAGACTGTGTACTATGGAGACAGACAACCTAGCCTTCTTCTGAGTACTGTACATATGAACTATGTAAATCTAGACAACATTATTTAATCCTCTGAATCTAGTCCCTTCACTGTAAAATGCAGATATTAAAAGTACCTACTTTATATACCTACTGTAAAATATATACCTACTATAAAACTGTAAAATGGAGATATCAAAAGTACCTCCTTTGGTGTGACAATTAAATAAAGTAATATATGTAAATACTTTAAGATATAGGGTGGGGCAAAAGTAGGTTTACAGTTGTGAGTATGCGAAACAGCTTATTCTTATGTTATTTATTAATTATTGTCTTATTTTTCATACAAACTGTATGGAAAATAATTGCCTTACCTTGTAGTGACTGGCATACAATATGTTCCCAATAAATATTAGCTATTATTATTTTTACTATATTTATCAGGAGAAAAATGAAACAGAAATAGAAAGAAAACCAGAAGCAAGAAATCACATATCTTGGAAAGAAAGTTACTGAGATAAAAAGCTGCAAAGATCAGTAAGGGTCTTCTTGGGGTTTGAATTAAGGTTGACGGGAATGAGAAGCTGGTTGATAAACTAAAGTACAAGTTTAGTACCATCAACACATCTTGCCTGCCACATACAAAGTGTCTGTATTCAAATAAAGCCAAGGACAGCTTAGAAGTAAAATAGTGCCCTCGTTCAAGTTATATCTAAATTCCCAGGTATGTGAGTCAAAATATTTCCCAAGTATGTGAACCAGAATATACAGTAAATTAAATTAGTCACTTATAAGTGAAAAGTCCTGACCATATTTCCTTTGTTTTGCCTAAACTGGCTCAACTTTGTGTTATTTGCAATCAGAAGATAACTAAACAAAGGCCACTTACATTTTGATTAACATATTGTTAGCCATATTAATATTTTCTCTGATGCAAGAGTCATTCCAATTTCCTAAGATGGGACATGGAGAAAATTTAATTCACAAAAATACTACAAGGCCTGGGTAGACCAAACAGTCCCAATTAGCAGGAGCTGCTTCCAACAACGTATACAGTGGTGAGCAGGCAGTCGAAGCGGTGGAAGGAGCACTGGATGTCAGAAACTGTAGGGTGGACACTGTGACTCCTCCTCTATGACATCCCAAATCTCCAGCAGAGTAACTGCACTTATGAGATGTTTTATTCAAGATCTTTTCATGGAATTTGACAGAAGAGGAGAACCAAGAAAACAATCATAAAAGCAGCAGAAATGGGCAATCATAAAGAAGTAAAAGAACCCTCAGAAGGTTCAGGAAAGGTTTTTTGCTTTCAGGCCACTGAAGTTGGGACAAGTACCCCATCTCTCTGAGGATACGGAGAATGCTGACTGATATCAGAGCTACAGATGACCTCACATACCCGGGCTTTTTTTAATCAGCCAGATTGATGTACAGTCCCGCTCTCAGAGGGCAATCTTATTTTTATGATTCCCACCTCACAATGGCTCTCACACAATGCTAGTAGCAGCTGTTAGAGAAATTAAACAGGCCGCAATGGAAAGAAAGGACAAGAAAGACAGATGGACATATGCATAGAAAGAATATGGACAGATCCTTGTGGAGGAGAGGGGAGAAGAGCAGTTTCAAGTCACCTAAGGGTATTAAAAACAGCCCATGAGCCTCTCATCATTGAAATACTTTCTGTGGTTTACAAAACCTCTTTTTTAAATTGAAATATAGTTCACATATTCTGAAACTCACCACTGTAAAGGGTAACATTCAGTGACTTCTTCTAGTCTATTCACACAGCTGTGCAACCATCACCACTAATTCCAGAACGTTCGCATAACCACAGAAGGGAAACCTGTGTTCATTACCATCTCCCCTCCCATTTTCCCCTCCCGCAGCCCCTGACAACCACTCATCTACTTTGTCTCTATTGATTTGCCTATTCCAGGCATTTCATATAAATGGAATCATACAACACATGGCATTTTTATGTCTAGCTTCTTTTACTTACATAATGTTTTCAGGGTTCATTCATACTGTAGCACATATCAGTACTTAATTGCTTTTTATGGCTGAATAATATTCCACTGTATCGATGTATCACGTTTTGTTAGCATTTGGGATGTTTCCATCTTTTGGCTACTGTGAAAAATGCTGCTATGAGCATTCATGTATAAATTTTTATGTGGACATAAATTTTCAATTATCTTAGACATGTACCTAGGAATATAATTGTAACTCCATGTTTAACATTTTGAGGAAGGGCCAAATTGTTTTCCAAAGTGGCTGCACTATTTACCTTCCCACCAACAATGTGTGAGGGTTCCAATTTCTCCACATCCCAGGTATTTGTCTTTTTTTCCATATAAATTACATCTTTATACATTGTATGCTCATGAACACAGATTTTTATTTCTTATAGCTGCCTTTTAAATCAGAAGAGAGAATTACACACAAAATACATTTACACTGTCTTTTCTACTTAATTTATCGGTGCTCTTTATTTATATATGTGTATTTGAGTTACTGTCTAGTGTCCTTTCATTTTAATCCGAAGGACTCCTTTTATTATTTCTTGTAGAGTAGGTCTGCTAGTTATGAATTTGCTCAGTTTTTGTCCACCTGGAAATACCAATTTCTCCATGAATTTTGAAAGATGAATATGTCAATCTGCTGCCTTCTAGGCTCTGTAGTTTCTTATGAGAAATCAACTGTTAATCTCAGTGATGCTCACTTATATGTGATTGTTTATCTTGTGCTGCTTTCAAGATTTTTCTCTGTCTTTAGATTTTGACTACTGATCATGATGTATTGATTGTAATTTCTTTGAGTTTACTCTATTTAGAAGATCAAAGAGCTTCCTGAATGTGTAGATCAGCGATTTTCAACCTTTTTCATCTCATGACACACATAAACTAATTACTGAAATGCTGTTGCATATCAAAAAATTTATTTTTTGCCAGTCTAACAAAAAATGTACAATTCTGATTCATTCACACCAGATAGCTACTGTTGTATTGTCTGTTGTCATTTAATTTTATAATCTAAGAGGAAAATCTAACGGAAAAAGAGGTCAGTGCCCCTGAATAAATAGTCAGGTATTGCGTGCTTTAAAAATTCTTGCAGCGCACCAGTTGGAAATTGCTGAGCTAGGGGTGTCTATCTGCCCTGTTCTCCCAAAGACCATGTCTGAACTAACTCTCTCCCTGGGGACACTTACACTTGGGCTATTATAGCACCTTATCCCCAGCCACAGTGATCAGTCCAGACATATGGTTCTTGCAGCACACTGGTTGAAAAAAAATCACTGGTGTAGATTAATGTTTTTCATCAAATTTGGCAAGTTTTTGGAAATTATTTAAATCTCCTCCACTCCTAGGATTCAAATTATATGTAAGTTGGTATACTTGCTAGTGTCTTACATTACTCTGCTCAATCATATATATTCTTTTGTCTTTCTGTTCCTCAGATGATTAATCTCAATTGACATCTTCAAGTTCAATGATTGTTCTTCAAGCTCCAATTTGCTATTGAGCCCCTCTAGTGAATTTGTTTTCATTTCAATTATTGGGCTTTTCAACTCCAAAATATCTATTTTGTTCCTTTTCTATAATTTATGCCTCTTTATTGATATTTGGTGAGATGGCATTCTTAATACTTTTCTGTAGTTCCTTTGACCTTTTTAATAGTCCTTTGAACATATTTACAATAGATGTAAATTTATAAGAATTTAACTGTTTAAATTTAAATTTAACATCTGGGCTTCCTCAGGGACAGTTTCTATTAAAATTTTTTTTCCTTTGTTTGGGCCATACTTATTTCTTGCATGCCTTGTCGTTTTTGTTGGAAACTGTACATTTTAAATAATATGTGGCAACTCTAGAAGTCAGATTCTTCCCATCCCCAAAGTTTGTTGTTGCTATTGCTCTTTGTTTAAATTTTCCTGAACTAAATCTGTAAAGTCTGTATTCTTTGTTGTATGTGGCTATTGGAATCTCAGCTTGGTTAGCTTAGTTGTCAGCTAATGACTGGACAGTTTCCTTAAGTTTCTTTCTTTTTTTAAATCCTCATCCAAGCACATTTCTAAAATATTGCTTTTACAGAGAGGAAGGGAAATAGAAAAACATTGATGTGAGAGAGAAACATTGATTGGTTGCCTCCTATACATGCCAAGGCCTATGATTGTATGCGGCCAGACCAGGGATGAAACCTGCAACCCAGGTACATGCCCTGACTTGAATTGGAACCTGTACACCTTTAGTTACAAGATGATGCTCCAACCAACTGAGCCACACTGGTCAGGGCTCCTTAAATGTCCTAAATAAGTCTCTTGGCCTTTGTGAAGGAACTCTCTGTGAGTGGTAGAGCATGACTTCAGTGCTTAGGCAGGCAGTTTACAACTCTGTACTAGCTCCTACTTCTTTCTTGAATAGAGACTCAAAGTCAGCTAGAGGTGAAAGCTGCAGGCATTCTCAGATATTTTCTGGGCATGTGCATAGCCCTATGCATGCATTTGACATTCTGGATTCTCAGGAATATATAGGGAGCTTTTCAAAGTCTCCTATGGGCATCCCATATCCCAAGTATTCCTTTTAAGTTTCTTGGTCATCTTATTGTTTGTACCCAACTGTTATAACTGTCTCAGGCAGCTAGCTGTGATGTTTAAAAAATGGCAGATTTTTAAAAAAGATTTTATTTATTTACTTCTAAAAAGAGGGGAAGGGAGGGAGAAAGAGAGGGAGGAAAATACTGATGTGGGAGAGAAACACTGATCACTTGTTTCATATACACCCTGACTGGGGACTGAACCCTCAAACCTAGGCATGTGCCCTGATTGGGAAGTGAACTGATGACCTTTCAGTTTGTGGGATGATGCCCTACCAACTGAAACACACTCTTCAGAGCAAAAATGACACTGATTGTTTTAACAAACATAGCTGGTGAGCTCTGAGTCAGGTCAAATAAAGACAAATCTTGTGAGTAGGCTTTTCCAGGGACAGGTCAAATAAGTTACCTGGGAAATGGGCTTTGAAGGGGATCCAACCCTGTTCTTCCCCCTCCACACAGATTGCTAAGCCACTCTTTTTCACTGTGATTGCAGTGGAACTAGATTACTGTAAAGCTGGGAGAGAAGTATGGGAATAGGGCAAGTAAAAATGCAATAAACTCACTGTTTTTTTAAAAAATCAAGATTCAGCTTTTTCTTGATAAACACCTCAACTGTTACAAGCCTTTGGTTAATTTCCTGCATTCTCTAAAACTTCATTCTGCCTTTAGCCGGGTATTTCAATTGGTTAGAGCATTGTCCCAATATGCTAAGGTTGAGTGTCTGATTTCCAGTCAGGGCATGTAACGAAAATCAACCAATGAATGCATGTATAAACAAGTGGAACAACAAATCGATGTTCCTCTCTCCCTCCTCTCCTCTCTCTCCCCCAAATCAATAATTTTTTAAAAAGTTGATTCTGACTTTTACCAGTGTTCTTTTTGATTTAATGGAAGAGAGGATTTTTGGAGATCCTTAATCCATGATATCTGGCTGACATCACCCCACTATGTCTTTATATAATCATTTGTTTTACAGAGATAGCTGTCTACATATCTTAACCCCTCTCCTACTTCACCCTCTTCCAAATGGAGATTACAATTTAGCAGAGAGGTTCAGATAGAAACTTTTGGACCAATGTTACAAAACACCAATCAAGTTAATCTAATTCTATTAGTCCAGTACTGCACATATGACGTCTGTCCAGAAAGTATCCATCCATGTGCTATGAAGAATAGAGACAGTTATTGAAGAAGATACAAGATACAAGAAACATTGTACAGAGGACAATGACACCTCAGTCCCCTTCAAAGTAGGCATGTTGGGACCTCACACAGTTCTCTCAATCTCCATCAGCTACCCCGTCATATTTTGCTGAATCTCATTGACAGTCTAAAATCTCTTCCCTTTCAAAAGTAATTGTAGTTTGGGGAAAAGCCAGAAGTCACAGGGTACCAAATCTGGGCTGTAGTGGGACTGAGTCACCTGGATGATTTGATGTTTTGGCAAAAGACTCTACACGAGACATGATGCATGAGCAGGCACATTGTCAGTGAAGAAGGGGCCAGTCACCTGTTGCCCATAGCTGCTGCAGCCTTCTGAATCATCCAAATCATTTCCACAGAGGAATGTTCAAGTTTAACGCAAAATTTTATGCAGATTCATTGCTCTACTTATCTAGTCATCTTGAATTTGCCAGCCACACAGTACACATGCTCTCTCAATGGTGTCTACCACCCCCATTGATTAGTACAGTGTAGTTGTCATTGTTCACACATGCTCACTCCAGTCCACTCTCCTTGGCTGCCAGGCTACACCGATGGCACACAAACTGTTCTCCTAATATTAACAACGGCTGGACTTTTTCCAGACAGACTGCATATAGGGAAGTGAATACGCTGGAGTAACTGTGTTTCTTCAGTACATGCCACATGGGCACTGTCTCTCTCCTACACATCATGACCCGCTGTTGCTACTTCGTAAGTCCTCCACTGTGTAAGTACCCACTAGTGGAGAATGGCTGGCTCTTGCTCTGCATCGAACACAGGGAGCTCCACTGCGACAGAAGCGCAGGCACTGACATGAAGATATTCCACATGCCCAAGGTTCTAGGTGTCACCATGACTACATTAACTGGGAATTTACCTAAGAAACTAAAGTAGTTGGAATTGATAAAGAGCTCTTCAGATATTCCATTAGGCTACCTCTATTCCAAAATCTAAATTTTATAACAGGTCACCTGAATTACAGTACCTTAAGTGGCATTATTTTTTTACATTTTATCAAAGCATTTGCCTTAGGGTGAAACTTTACCTTCACTTCAGAGATGATGAAATTGAAACATTTCCTTCAGAGACTTTCATAAAAAGCACTCAGTAGGTTCGGCCAAGACTCTAAGGAGGCTACTGGTGTTTCCAAAAGACATTCCAATTCACTCAGTGAAAAACAACGTTTAAGCGCAAGAGAATTCAGCAAACACCAGACTCTTGGAGCTGCAACCGCGCAGGTCAATTGGTTCAGCCTACTTCTTATTTTTTTTCCTCCACCTCTGTTTATGTAAACTTTTCTCATCTACCAATTCACTGGAGGGAAAAACTGTTTGATTTACACAAAACCCAACGCTGCTTTCGACTTGGTTGGTGGACTCCACTTCACCTGCACTAGGCACCCTCACGTGGCATCCTCGCCACTCGCCCCATGCCTGGGAGTCAGAAACCATCCCCGTGCGGATATGGGCCGGTTGAGCTCACCCCTGCTTTCCTTCGCCTGTCCACGGCGCCTCCCGAACCGCACCTGCATCTCTGACCAGGTGCCCTTCGAGCTCTAAGATTTGGATTGGCGACTCCGACGCGGAGAGCCGCAGCCTTCTGTCTGCGGAGTGTTTGGGACCACGCGCAGTTGCTTAGCAACCCCGCCGGAAGTGACGGCAGCTGTCGCCGAGGAACGAAGAACGCGCCGCTGTCTTCCTTCGGGCTGCGGAACACAGGCTGCGCGTGCGCAGGAGGCCGAGGTCGGTGAGCAAATAGGACTGGCGCGGGGACCTCCGCGGGAGCAGGGCGGAGGCTAGAGCGGCTGCGGACTCCTGGCCCGGGCTGGTGGGGAGACCTGGAACCCCTGCCCGGCCGGGCGCTGCCATCCTCATGCATCACGTGCCCTACGCGGGACCATCCCAGCTAGGTTCCTGCGCCTACCTTTCGGGGGGACCCGGCAGGTGTGTGCAAGAGCGGGGCCTAGGCTCGGTCTGTGCGGCCCACAGACTTCCTCGCGGAGGGAAGGTGAAGGGCAAAGCTCTCCCTTAACTGTAGAAACTCAGGGATTAGTGCACAGAACATCGATTTTTGAATACTTTAGTTTCTCAGTCATAATCCGGGCTAGATGGGGCTTAGTTTTTCAAGCAGTAATGTTAAAACTCGGATGTTGTCTCAGAACATTCGTATTAGAACCTTTTAGATATTTTAAATTGCTTGGTAAATATAGTAAAGTGAATGTATTTGGAGGGCCAGTCACACCTCGATAAGAACACCAAAAACCTGTTAAGAGCGGATGCGGGCTTGGTTTCCAAAGATACATGGAGGTAAACGATTTTATTACACGCTAGTTGGCTACAACACGTACTTTCTAGGCAGCGAATTGGAGTCGCTTAAAATGAAAGGAGTTAAGATTTTCAATCACTAAAGTTGTAACACATAATTGTACTATTTTTCTTCAGGTTTTCTATCAGATGTTCCGCTGTAATAATGCTGGTTAAATATAAAAGGATTAATGAACATTTTTTGGCAGAAATTTTTGCACATACGATATGGGGGGGGGAGAATTTTGGGGGAGAGCACAGTTTTTTTTTTTCTTAATTTAAATTTTATTTTTCAGTTACAGTTTATGTCCAATGTTATTTTGTATTAGTTACAGGTGTACAGCATAATGGTTAGACAGTCACATACTTTACAAAGTATATGTTTTTTAAAATGCCAAGAACTGGGAAAGAGATTTTACCCTGCTTGCATGCTACTGACTTTGCCTGCTACAGCTTTGTAGAAGATGCAGACCCCTAGGTCAGAGATGAATTACAGCAGTAGCAGTAGTCAGAATATCAACAATTTTACCCCAGTCCCCAAAGGGCCAGAAGACACCTGCACATGGAGATAAGCTAAGGAACCCAAATCTGTATTATAATGAATAAGCATTTCAAGGCTACATATCTTATTTAACCAGTCCCCATTACATCTATGTAGTTTCTAGTTTCCATTATTGTTAAAAGCATATAGGTTATTGTTGGACTATGGAAGAAACATTGCAGATATACCAAATATATACTGCTCCCGCTGTTGGAGAGAATAGTTAGTAACTATTTTGGTAATTGTAACAACTTTGTTTCAAAATAGTCACGTTCTTAAAACTGAGTGTGCACATCCTTATTTTTTGAGACTTTTATTTCAAGTACACTACATCTTTTACTATTTATTGACAACAGAATGTATTTGTCTATTACTTTTAACAAGTAAAAAGAAAAAGCAGAATCTGTAATTCTCAACACAATCAGTTTAACACTTGTGATTTTTATCCATTTGATATAAACTTATGTTTACATTAACACTCCCTGTTTTGTATTTAAGGTTTTTGTGTAATCAAAATTTGGTCTTCCTGTTGCCAATAGGTGCTTTCTAATGTAAGACAAAATAGCATCATTAGAAAACATAAATTTAAAAATATCTTAAATAAACTTTTATTAATTTTAGGAGTTAAGAAGTCTCTGTTCCTTTACTCCAAACCAGAAGACTTTGTTTCCTGCATTGAGAATAGAAATAATACTGGTTAGAAACTGGCTGTTTAAAACTGAAGATTGTCATGACTACTTAACCAAAGCTTTATGCTGAAGTCAGATTAAAAGTCTTGGAAATACTAAATTGGGTAAGTATTTTTAATAAAGATTTATGTTGAGTGGTGAGAAAACTAATATAAAAAGATAGGAAATTAAGAAAATTTCACTTTTAGATAGGCATTAATAGTCAGCAGTGGAATTATATTAACTACAGGCTTATGGCATCTTATTTTTAGGTTAATAGTTCAGGAATTTTAGTAACTTGTAGCTATTTAAATCTAAGCTTGAGGCAGTTTTTAACCAACAATGAGTTACATTTGAAAAAAAATTTTCATTAAATACAGAATGCTGTAAAAAAGCATTTTAATTTAAAATATGCCCAGGTACATAGAGGGGAGGGGCTAACGAGGGAAAGGAAGGGAAGGGTCATCAAGGAACATGTATACAGGACCCGTGGACAAAGCCAACAGGGGGTTGTGGGGCAGGATTGAGTGTGGGAGGCGGGGCTGGGGCAGGGGGAGAGTGATGAGGGGAATATGGGGGCAGTCCTAATGTGATTGTCCACTGTGCCTTTTTGCTAGTTATTACATCGTTTCTATGGGAAAGTGAATTTTGCACTTAAATCTCTGGGAGCCCGTCAGAGACACCTAGATTAGGCATTTAGAGATACAAGATATGTATCAGGATGTTACCGGATGGGGAAAAGTAGATTTACAAAGAGTTTATGCTTGTTTATTATTATTTCTTAATTATTGTATTATTTTCCACATGAACAACTGTAAACCTACTTTTGCCCCATCTTGCATATGTCTAAATTCACACAACAGAGCTACCTCTCTAATATTAATTATTCTCTATATATTCTAAATTGAGAGACACGGAATACTTACTCTTTTATATGAGTAATGACCTCTATTCTCAGTTCATCTTCTGGCAATCTATTATAAACCAGAGAATGCATGTGGTTAAGTGCCATGTTTTTCTTTTTCTTTTTAAAAATTTAATTAAATTTATTGCGGTAACATTGGTTAATAACATGTTTTCCATTTTTAATCAGTCTCTTCTTTTTCTTGTGGGGTTCTTCACTTTTTAAAATTTCTTGCTGAAACTGCAGAATGGTTATTAAATAGATCACAGATTTAGTGTTATAGTTAGTAAGTTACTTTGAGACTAATGAATGTTTTCATGTAACTAAACATCTTTTTGTCAAAATGACCTTAGCATTTTATTTTTAAAATGATGAATAGTCTTTAAATATTCTGTTTCTTAGATACTAGAGTGTGGTACTTAAAAGCATGAACTTTGAAGTCAAACCAACTTGAGTCCAGATTCTAGCTCTGCCACTTAACTAATACTTAACCAACCTGACTAATGCTTACACACTAGTTTACATATCTTTAAGATGAAAATAATAATAATTCCTATTTAATGGGGTTATGACAGTTAAATGGGATAATTTTAAAGGTCTTAGGTCAGTGCCTTGTGTATAGTGATCTCTCTAAAAATATTACTCTTTAAAAAAAATTGTGTGCACATACTAATTATATCTTTTATTTGGGTAATCTATAATTACCATTTTTACATAATTTTCATCTGTACCATCTGTTGACCAATTCTTTACTTTTCTCTGGAGATTTATAATTAATGCCATACATTATCTTTTAATGTAAAAAGCCATAAGTAATTGATTGTCCTATCTTAAGTAATGTGATTACTCAAGTATATCCATATTATTTGGCACTCCAGAGCTAAACTATTTGTAGAAAATATGAATAAACATAAAATTATTATCAACCTACTACTAGTCTGGAAGAACTGAACTGACCTCTATTTCAAGTAATTTGCTTAGAATTTCAAGTACAGTGTCATGCAACCATTTAGTTATAACATTGGCATTGATGTTAGAAATGACTTCAAGCTCAACACCTTTTTAAAAATTTAAATTTTGCAAGATTTCATGTTAAATTTGATCTAAATTTTGGTTAGTACACAGAGACTTGTTTCATATGAAGATTACTGTAAGTATTTTAAACTAGTAGGTGTGGCTGTGCCCTGACCGGTGTGGCTCAGTTGGTTGGGTGTTATCCCGCAAAGGTCCCCGTTTCGATTCCAGGTCAGTGCACGGGGTTCTGGGTTTGGTCCCTAGGCAGGGTGCCTACAAGAAGCAACTGACCGATGTTTCTCTCTCTCTCTTTTTCCCTCCCTTCCCCAGTCTCTAAAAACAAATAAATAAAGTTTTTAAAAATAAAAATAAAAAATAAGTGTGGCTGTGATTGATAAAAACATTGAACAGTTAGCCTACTTTTTTTTCTGTATTATTTTAAAACTTTTCTAAATTAGAGTGTAAGAGAATAATTGTTTCATTACTTCTTTTAGTGGATAGCCCAATAACTTAATTCTGGATGCTGAAGGAATAATTCCCCACATGAACACAATAAAACTGCGGATATCCTTTTTAGATATTCTGTTTTTGATTCACTTAAAATACTCAAATATGAACTTTGACTCTTAGGAAAAAATGCTTAAATGGTTATCCTAAAATGCTTAATTATTTTAATTTGTTTACATTAATTTATTTAATTATAATTTGTTTAGCAGATTAACACTCAGTAATGTTTGTTAAATAAGAGCCAGATATGTGTAAAAAAAAAAAAGTGTTTAGAGAATAATATTTCTTCTTTTTCAGGGTTCCCCAAATCTGTTTTAGAACCATGAAAATTTTGCTCGTTTTTGACTTTGACAATACAATCATAGATGACAATAGTGACACCTGGATTGTACAATGTGCTCCAGAGAAAAAGCTTCCTATTGAACTACAAGATTCTTATGAAAAAGGATTTTGGACAGAATTTATGGGCAGAGTCTTTAAGTATTTGGCAGATGAAGGTGTAAGAGAAGATGAAATGAAAAGAACAGTGACATCAATGCCTTTTACTCCAGGGATGGTGGAACTTTTAAACTTTATAAGAAAGAACAAGGAAAAATTTGATTGCATCATTATTTCAGATTCAAATTCAGTCTTCATAGATTGGATTTTAGAAGCTACCAATTTTCATGATGTGTTTGATAAAGTGTTTACAAACCCAGCAGCTTTTGATGGCCGTGGTCATCTCACTGTGAAAAATTACCATGCTCATTCTTGCAACAGATGTCCCAAAAATCTTTGCAAAAATGTAGTTTTGGTAGAATTTTTAGATAAACAGTTACAACAGGGAGTGAATTACACACAAATTGTTTATATAGGTGATGGTGGAAATGATCTTTGTCCAGTAACCTTTTTAAAGAAGAACGATGTTGTCATGCCACGGAAGGGATATACTTTACAAAAAACTCTTTCTAGAATGTCTCAAAATCTTGAGCCTACGGAATCTTGTGTTGTAGTTTGGTCTTCAGGTGTTGAAATAATTTCTCATTTACAGTTTCTAATAAAGGAATAATATGCCAACAATTGAAATGTGTATCAGTTAAGATTAGGAACAGTAGCATAAAACTAAAACCCCAAGCACAGTGGCTAAAAAAAAAAAGACTTTTTTCCTCTCACTTAAAAGAATTCTATAGGTAAGTATCCCTCAAGGCGGCTGTGTTGCTCTACCAGTTTCAGCACTTGGCTACCAACTCATGATACAAGATTGTTGTTTTAAGTTCCAACCCTCACAGCAACATTCTGTCCAGCAAGAAGGAAGGCAGTGAGTTGTATATTCATTTAAATTGCATTGGCCAAAATTTAGTCACAGTGTTTTCACCTAATTGCAAAGAAGGATGAAAATTATAGCTTTTATTCCAGATGGTCATATGCCTGTGAAAAATTGGATAAAAAAGGAGTACGGAATTAAGGTAACTGCAGCTAGTGGTTTCTACTAGGTGGTTGATAAGCTATATTGTTTTTATTCTCAGAGAGAGTAGTCTTATATTTTACTTTATTAGATATTTATTTCAAAAGCATGTTCAGTAGTTACAGACTTTAAAAATAAGGCTGATGCTTATGCACACAAGCCCAACTATATACATGTAACGGTCTATTCCCAAATCAGTGTATTTTAAAGATAGGGATGCAGTATCTATTTCAGACTTTCCTTTTAAAATTAAATACAAATTAATGTTCTCAAATATTTTAAGTTTATATCAGTATCACAACTATAACTCCATTACACTTGTTTAATAAGTGTATTATTTCTACTTGGCAATGCAGACATGAGTGATATATGTAATTTGTAGGAAAACTCAACATTTAACATACTGTTTTATATAGAGATTAAAATATCAAGTGATGTAAAAAGTTTATAATTTCATGCTAATTTCTAGGTTCATGTTTTAGGCATATATAGCCATTATATAATAATATTAGGATTTTATTTTCCATAAACAAAAATGCACCAGAAATGCTCAATATAATTTAATGGGAAAAAATTGGTACTTTCTAATTTGTTTTTTCAGGTTGAAAAAGTAAATCTTTAAATTAAATAGGTTAGATTATGTTTAAATACGTTTACCCTTATAGATTATCATTTCTCTACTTGTGGAGGCCAGTAACAAATGACAAATTATGCAAGTAAAAAAACAAAACTTTCATTTATAGTAATAGTAGAGCAAATAATTTGGACCAGATCTCCTAATAAGCACATCTAAAAAAGCTGATTGCTAAACAAAAATTTTAAAACATCTGCTTAAAGACATGAGAGACCTGGTAACAATGAACAATTGCTACCAAAGCACAGAAACCCAAGTAGGCAAGCTGCTTTTCCCAGAAGTACTGGCTAACTCTGTAATTGGTGTCTGAGATGCTGAGCAGCTCTCTTGACAACCTCATAGTACTAGGGAAAGAGGCCTGCAATGATAAACCTTTCCCCTTCCTTTGAGTAAGAATTCCAAAAGGAGTAAGAATTGCCCATTAGGGATAAGAATGATCCAGAAGTAAGCATACCTGCAAAAGGATGGCAGCTCAGCTTTGAATATTCTCCGTCTATAAAATTAGATTGAAGTTATCTAAGATTTTTAATTCTCAAAAGGATGTTAACATCCAAGGTATGGTGGACAGACACTAACATGGACCCCCACTATTTTTGTAACCTGGTATGCCTTGTTTGTGTATGGAGAAGGGGAAATAGGACTTGCTTCTAATTGATAGGATACCACAAATATGATAGGACCTATGTGATTATGTATACATGATTATATCGTGTTCTAATGCCCATCTTTAACTTTCTCCCTTGCTGATTTTGAAGCAAGCTGCCATGTGAACTAGCCTTTAGAGAAGGCCAAAGGGCAAACAACTGAGGGTGGCACCTAGCTAACAGCAAGAAGTAGGCCCTTAGTCCAGCAGTCCGCAAGGAACTAAATGCTGCATACATGTGAGCTTGAAAGTGGATTCTTTCCACAGTTCAGGCTGACTTACTGATTGCAGCCTTGTGAAACCCTGAAAACAGTCCCCAGCTGAGCTGTGTTTGGACTCCTCACAGGGCTTATGAGGTAATGTGTATTGTTTTAAAACACTAAATTTGTGGTAGTACTGTTATGCAGAAATAGAAAAGTAATGCAGTAGGCCTCAAAATAAATCTATAGTTTTGCAAATACACCATAGGACACAATAAAAAGCCACATCAAGAAACAATGTTAACACCAGCAGAAGCTTACATTTAAACAGATCTGTGGAAAAGGAAAAAGGACTCATGGACATGGACAACAGTGTGGTGATTGCTGGGGTTAGGAGATATAAGGAGACTAAATGGTAATGGGAAAAAATTCAATAAAGATTAAACTTAAAAATCTGTGGAACATCCAGGTATTGGACTGTTCAGATACGAACTAAGCTTAGGAGAATTTGGACAAATAAGTCAAAATTATACTTTTAAAAAACATGGAAATAATAGAGCTGGAAATTACCATGACTGAAATTAGAATCTTGATGGGTGAATTCGACAACACAAGAGGCATAGCTGAAGATAGAATTAGTGAATGAATGCAAGTTAGAAGAAAATATCCAGAATGATGCAGAGAGACAAAGCAATGAAAACACAAGAGAAATTAAGAGACATAGAAGATACATAAGCTCTAACAGGAAATTTGTGTCCAGAAAGGAGAAAGAAAATAAACAGTATCTTAAGATTTAATGCCTATGGGACAACTTTAAGAGGTCCAACATTGAAATCAAAGGGAGGACAGAAGGAGAAGAGAAACAGCAAAAAATTGGAAATCTGGAAAAAATAGTGGAAGAAATCTCACCTAATTTAGTGAAGGAAACAGACATGCAAATCCAGGAAGCACAGAGTCTCAATTATGACAGATGCAAAGAGGTCAACTCCAAGACACATCATTATTAAAATGCCAAAGGTTAAAGATAAGAGCGACTCTTAAAAGCAGCAAGAGAAAAGAAGTTAGTTACCAGGTGGATGCCAGATGGGAGGGAGGAGGAGGAGAATGGGTGAAGAGGTGAGGGGATTAAGAAGTACAAACAGGTAGTTACAGAACAGGAAATCAAGTAGCCAAAGAACTTGTACACATGACCCATGGACATGAACAAGAGTTGGGAGATTGCCTGAGGGAGGAGGGAATACTGGGTGAAGAGGGGCAAAGGAGGAAAAAATCAGGACAACTGTAATAGCATAATTAATAAAATATAATTTTAAAAAAGTTAATGGCTAAAACATCACAAAATTGGTGAAAGACATCAAACTACAGATTCAAAAATCTTTATGAACCCTAAACTGGGTTTTTAAAAAAAATCACATCATTGTAAAACTCCTGATAACCAAAGATGGAAAAAACCTAAAGCATCCAGAAGAAAAAAAGATAACAAAAGGAGAAACAAACTAATATCTGGTATTATTTCTTAAATGTTTGGTAGAATTTAATAATGAAGCCATTTAGGCCTGGAGTTGTCTTGGTTGGAACGTTTTTAACTACTAATTTCTTTAATATATATAGGGCTATTTGGATTGTATAGTTTTTCTTTTTTAAAGTCCTCACCCAAGGACATGCCTACTGCTTTTAGAGAGAGAGGAAGTAAGACAGAGAGAAACACCAGTGTGTGAGAGAAACAACAATTGGTTGCCTCCTGTAAGCGTCTGACTGAGGCTTGAACCAGCAACCTAGGTATGTACCCAAACTGGAAATCGGAGCTGCAACCTTTTGGTGTATGGGACAGTGCTCCTACCAACTGAGCCTTTCAGGACTCTGTGTGTGTGTGTGTGTGTGTGTGTGTGTGTGTGTGTGTGTGTAAGCTTTGGTAGTTAACTGTTCTCTGGCTGCATAGTAAGTCATCTCAAAATTTAACAGCTTAAAACTAAGCATTAATTATCTCACAATTTCTGTGGGTCAGGGATTTAGCCCTTACCTGGGTTTCTAATCAGGGTCTCAAGTGAGTCAAGATATATACTATGCGGTAGTCATATGAAAGCTTGACTGGGGCCAGAGGATCTGCTTGCAAGGTGGCTCGCTCTCAGAGCTTCTGGTAAGAGGCCTCAGTTACTGATTGTTATCACAAAGTCTCATTTTATTGTTGGTTGTTGGCTAGCATCCTCAATTTCCAGCCACATGGGCCTCTCCAAAGAGCTGCTTGAATGTCCTAAAGACATGGTTTCCTGCCAAGGGAGCAATCCAAGAGAGAGAGCAAAGAAGAAACTACAATACCTTTTGTGACCTACTCTCAGAAGTTACATACCATTACTTCTGCCATATTCTATTTGTAAAAAGAGAACAATAAGTCAAGCCCATGTCAAAGAGAAGGGAATTAGACTTCCCCTTTGTAGAAGGAGTCAAAGACTGTGTTGACATACTTTATATTTTTTTAATATTTATTTTTTACAGAAAGGGTAAGAGAGGGGGAGAGAGAGGGAAAGACATCAATGAGAGAGAGAAATATCAATTGGTTGCCTCTCATACATGCCCAACTGGGGCACAAACCCACAACCTGGGCATGTGCTCTAACTGGGAATAGAACTGGCGGCCTTTTGGTCTGTGGAATAATACCCAGCCCAGTGAGATAAACCAGTCAGGGCTGTAGACACTTTAAAACCACCATAATGTCTCTCAAGGATTTGTCCATTTCATGTAAGTTGTGAAGTGTTTGGGCATAACATTTTTCATAACACCTTAATAGTCCTTTAATTTTGCAGTGAACACATGTATACCTACTACCTAGATTTTACCATTATCATTTTACTCTGCCTGTTGTCTCACATATCTATCCATCCCTCTATCTTTTTTCTTTTGCCTCTTTAACATAAGTATTGTTCTTCCCCTTTCCTTCTTGGTTTCCCAGTGGATCAGACCCAATGTATCTGTGTCTGATTGGGACTCAAATGTCTTCCAGCTACATGTAAACTCTGGAAATTGTTCAATTTATAGTTCCTGGGATCATTCTTTGCCCAGACTTCATGGAGTTTCACCCTATGCATGAGTGGCTTAGTTTTGAACCACAGGCTCATCTTCCCTTCCAGATTTCTGGAACTCCTCAATTTAGCTCCTTCCTGTTGGTACACTGCCCTGCAAATTCCAGCCAATTCTACTGCTCCAAATTTATCTCCATAATTCAGTGAGACTACCATAGTCTGCTTGGGACTCCCCCTCCCTGCACCTTGGGCTGGAAAATGTCTCCAGGCAGAAATACAGGCAATTATGGGCTACTCATTTATTTCCCTTCTCTTGGGGATCACAGTCCTGCACTGCCAGT